GTATTATTCGTTTATTTCTTCGTGTTTCCTTCAATTCTTTTTCAAGAAAAATAAAAATATTTATTGTATAAAAAGATCAGTTTAAATATTGAATGATTATTGTTTTAACTAAATTATGAAATAGATTTCAGATGGTAACAACATTCAATTCAATTAAAATCAAAGATACATTTTATTGACCATTTAATAAAGTATAGTATATGAAAACGCAACAAAAAGAATAGCATGAAGCACATACTAAATTCCATTTTTTCAATTACAAGATCATGTTGCAATCATGAATATATCACCGTAAATGGAATAAAGAGAATATAGTAGAAAGATATTTTGTTAGTGGAAAGATAGCAAAACAATAATACTTAGGCCTATGATAAACCGATTCACGAACTAAAATATATTGGGCCTAGGCATATTAATTTTTTCGTTTTCGCAACTCCTTCGGCGCTCCATATATTTGTTCGAAATAAACCGCGACCGAAACGAAGCGCGACCGAAATGATCGGCTACTGGAATTCCTAGCCCTAGGCAGGAACTATATAGGCCTAGCTGGAGTACAGTGCCACCTCACCATTGATTGCGAGTTTTTTATTTTTTATTCATCAAATCAAATCACGTAAACAATGATGATGAACAATACTGTTGTACTGTATACAAAATGAATTTCAAAATGTAGCCTACATTAATTGCGTTCCTTATAAAATTAAAAAGGAGGGCCTTCCTAGGAATAAGGCCCAAAAGCGGCCGCTACCCTTCAGAACGGCTGCCAATGTGTGTATGTGTATGGAACGCCGGTGACGCATGCACAATGCAGTACAGTATAATTGTTAAATGTTTGGCCTAGGCCAAGTCGGTTAAACCGTGTCGCCCCACAAAGTTTTCCCCTAACCAAGTCGCCCCCTTGACAAATATTGATTATTATTAACTACCGTAACATTCAAACCTGATTTAGAAATTATCTAGTAGAGAGCTGGCTAGCTACGTCGATAATTTGTACAAAGAGTTGAGTGTAAACTTTTTGATTTTTTTTTTCTTGCAGTGCCCAGAGTGAAAAGTGTACAGTACATAATTTTTTGTTTGTTTTTAAATCTAATGTTTGCTGTAGTAGTTTAAGGACATGGCCTATTGGAAGACCAATTTTAGTAAAAAGACTGAAATGACTTTCCATGAATAATAAAACTGTTATTATTGTTATTATTATTAATTATATTTATTTCGGAATTATTCATAATAAAGGCCTATGCGTGTTGTTACGGTATTGATTTTATTTGTTAAATCAAATCATAGAGAAAGGTATACTTTGATATCTTTTAATTTTAAAGTATACAAGTTCCACTATCATCGCATGTGTTGGTGCATAAAAAATAGTGTTTCTTTTCAACTCGTTTTATAGTTTATGTATTTAATTTTATTAAAACTACGATTTACTATATTTCCATTTATTTGTGTATTTTATAAACATGATCAGCAGATAGCAGATGATTCAAAGTTAATGGTTACATGTATGAAGTAGGTGAACACCGTGATAGGCCAACTTTATCAGCCGTCATGTTTGCAACTAAAAATAGTCGTCTATTTTTTAACATCTGACCTACTTCTGTCTTTGCGGTAATGCGCCCACATTCCTGAAGGCGGCTTACAAAGAATGTGTTTGCTTACCTTCTTTAAGAGTAACCATGACCTTGTTTGGTTATTAAACTAGTGTATAATTCCAGCAAATATATATCATCAAAGAAAGGTAAATACAGCGTTCGAATAAAGGACATAATAATACATCGTGTAGAATAGCTCTCAACAAATGTAGTCCTGTAAATAAATGAATAAAGAAATAAAATGCCTCTGGCGGGACTATTTATTTTTCTTTGATGATTTATGTATATAATTTAACAATTATCCAAATTAATTTCAAATGTGTAACTATTGCAAATGCAAACAATAGGCCTAATATACCAAAAAGCCCCAGTCATGCATTTTGGTTGATAGGATTATACAGTAGTCAGTGGAGTATTCAGGAGGGGTGCTTGAGGTACCTGAGCACCCTCCATCAGAGGTTGAAAAAAAGTGCCCCTTTTTAAATGTTAAATAATAATAATAGTCCCCAATTCCCAAAAATGTTCTCACTTCAGCTTCAATCATGAGGTGGCTCAGGTGGATATAGTAATTTTCGTAGAATGTTTTTGTATTAAAGTGCCATTTTCCGGCATCTAAAAGTCTCAAGTTCTTACAATGTCTTCCATCATTCCTCAAATTCATGGAAATTTTGTAAGGCCCAATAAAAAAAATTATTAGTTTATCACCCTGCCTAGGCTGGAAAAATGATGAGGGAGGGAGGCTTTTTATTTTTTTTTATTTAGGTACAGCCAAATATCACCCTATGGTTGTTTGCTGGTACATTGATATTGGTAATGCAAACAATATCTATACTATTATATATGGACAAAAAAAAATTTAAAAATTCCTATTTTTTTTCATTACTGTAGAAGATATGCAGGTGAGAATGATAAACTATATTTTGTTTATGGGGCCTACTAAATAGAGACACATTGACTTTCGCCTACAGGTAGGATGAAAATAAAAGATTGACAGATTGTAAGATGCCTCACCTTTGCCAAGTAAGCAATCATGCTAGAGGGAGTTCTCGAGTCAACTTTGCTACTGAAATCCAAGCCATGATGTATGTACTGTATATTTACTTTTTGTAATTTAATCTATCCACTCTATCAAAGTGTTTTGTGACAGGATTTGCCAATATGGGAGGAGCCACAGAGAGAAAGGGTTGCAACATGTCGCTCCTTGGTTGCAAAAGTCACATGGTACACACCGTCTATTTTGTGTCTAAATCTTCTTGATGCACACATGTAGTTGCACATTATTTGTACATGTTTAATTGTGATTGTTAATTATGGTTTGATTTAGAATTATCTTTAGAATTTGAATATTTGTGTGTATGTGTATAGTATGACACTGTATAGCCTCATCATACCCATATTTGGGTGGGATATTTGACATCATCATGCCTACAGTATATATCAGGGAAATGACAATGTTGTACCCATGGGTGTTTTATGACATCATCATGCCTGTGGGAGTAACTTAGAGTATTTGTCATACGTTGATGCAATAGGAATAGAAGAATTTGGTGAAAGTTTTATTTATATAAATACGGTACAGTAGCTCAGATTTATATAGAATGGCAACACATGAAAAATAACCTATGATTTAAATTATAGATCAGCACTATTCGATGATCTACAACTTTATGTTTATTTTCTATTAATTTCTTCAATCAATTGTCAGGTGGGATAATTTAACAAGATCTTCAATGAATATCTGGTACAATAAAATGTTAAAGGTAACTGTATTTTTAATGGAGACTTTACAAATTTGAGTATTTTTTAAACTTCTAGGTATGCACTCGGTGATTGCCGAAAACCTCTTAGAGAATCGGCGCTTTTGGTGGAAGCAGCTGTTCAGCAAAAGATGTTGTCTATAGTAAGTTTACAGCTTGATCAATATTTCAAAGCTTGGTCTACGGTAGTACAGTTGGTTGAACAGCTTAGACAATTTTAAAGATTGGTCTACAGGGGAGGGCATAAAATGGGACAGGGGGCCCAAGTGGATATTTTATTTGCTGTAACACTAGGGATGCACATACATATGGTTTTTAAATTATTTTTCGCGGGACGCAACAAAATCGTTATTGGGCCAAATGTAGTCTGTAGGCTGCACTTTTTCCACTTGTGGTCTATAGCAAGATAACTTGGTGGGAACTACAGGTATTACTGTACTATTACTATGAGTGTTTGTGAAGGGTCAGTTCTTTGCTTATTCAAGATTGAAGATTATTAGAGATTGGCGCTTACTAGAGAATGGCGCTTATTACAAATTATTAGAGTTAAAATGGTACAATTGTTGTCCAGTACAGCCCATGGGACCAGTAGCGGACTAGTAGCGGCTCTAGGATATATTTTCTGAGGGGGCTAAGTTGTCCGACAGGGGGACTTGTGCTCGTAGGCTCGAGCTGTAGGAAGGGGTTGAGAGGAGGTTCCCCCTCCCAAATGAGATTTTTTTAAAGAATATCAACCTCTGGATGGCCGAAAATGGCAATTTCAGACTGTGACAGACATGTGTTGGCTTGGTGTGGGCCTATTTTTATATGTTTTATGGTCTGACTGCCCGACGAGCTCTGTCCGGCGGGGGGGCTTGACCTGTCTAGTGGGGGCTTAAGCCCCCCCCCCCCCCGCTGGCGCTGCCACTGCAGGAGACGGGTGCAGAGGCCCAAAACAAAAATGTCTACCTTATGTTCTGATTTAAAATTTACCTTACAAAAATTTAGTGAGAAGCAGTCAAATATTTAGAATCCCCATATCCTCCCTGCCTTGTGTTTTGCTAATACCTATCCCAGTTTTCCTTCTTGCTTCCCTTTCTCCAACTACCTTTTTATTTAAACTTTATATTTTATAGCTGAACAAGTCGGCTCAGATCTGCATATCAAGAGGAGGACGCTTCATTGGGATCGAAGACTTTCTTTACTTAATGAGACTCGACCGAGTGAGATTAAGACGCCTTCTACGATTTTTAAGTTTCAAGGACAATAAACTCTTGAAAACACTATCTGATGAAGAAGACCCATCGGAATCAGGTAGGATAATCACCTGGTTAAAAGAGTAGTATACTGTATAGCTATGTCAGGTGGTGATGGCCAGTGTGTGTGTTTGTGTGTGCATTGAACCATGGATAGTTGGAGATTCAAGGGGGCCCTTTCTTGGCCCCTCTATTTTGAAATTCCTGGGTCCGCCACTGACATTGACGTTTCAGACATTTGGTCCCTGGTTCATTTCTGTCTCTGCTCTTGTGATTCATCTGGAGGGCTATACAGTGGTAGAACCAGGGGCAGGGGGCTTATAATCTCCATATGACATACCAAGTGCCCCAATTGGACAGGCCACCCACCCATTGGACCAAATCCAGAAAAACTATTTATTAAATATATTTTTAGATAAATTTGTGGGGCATAAAATAACATTCTAAAATGTCTCAGAACAGTTTAAAACGGCCAGAAATTTCCCACATATCTCTGTAATAAGGTAGACATTTGTCAAGCGCCACTTAACAACATGCGTCGTTAATCACTAGCACTGCATATTAGTGTTCGAAAATGTGTGTGTTACTGAAGCAATGGAAGTAATGATTTTATTATTAATATTTATATTATGTATTTTCCCAGCTTTTGGAGTTGATTCCAAGCCAACAAACACTTCTAAACGCCAGAGGATAGCCTATGAGTTTCTTAGCATGATTGACCAAACTGGTGAATTTGTTAGTCTGTTTGAAGATGACGGCATAGACCAAGTGAAGCAGGAACGTTTAGAGCGAGTTGATGAAATGACAAAGAAGATGGACTCCGCATCGTACCAAGATTTTTCTGAGTCTCGTCAAGTTAATTTCTGTATGTTTGATAAACAAGTAATTTTTATTTGGGTTTTTTTTTTTTTTTCTCACAAAATATAAAATAGTTATTACTCAGTGAGATATACTGTAGAAATAAAGAATACATTGATTCAAGGCATCTGATTGGTTAAAAAGCAGGTAATAACTTCAACCATCACTCCTATGATGTAGGTTGAATGATAGTTTCTCAGGAAAAAGTACTATCATGTTAAATGAAAGTACAGTTGAACTTGCCTAAGTCAAATCCAAAATGCCATTGAAAAATTTTTCGACTTGGATAAAATTCGACTTACAGATTGTTAATTAATTGAAAAAACAACAATTTGACATGTAAAATAAGGTTGACTTAGATATTATTCGACTTAGGCAAGTTTAACTGTACTTTTTTTCGCTGTGTAATTTATGACACGCACACACGGTAAAGGGGGACTGCAACCTGTAGGACGAGAGTGATTGGCCCTTTGACTGCCTAGGCCTACTTGGTAGGTACTCTTTTTATTACTTTTTAGGCCTCATAGAATCTATGTATGAGGTTTATAAAACAAATATAGATTTTAGGCTACAATCGGAAAGATAGTAGGCTACGGTCTCTTCATCACCTCTGGGCAGTAGAGATCACTGTTATCCTCATGAGCAGTCAATACTTGTATACTATAAAATGGTTGACTTGAAAAGCACTGGAATCAAACATTCTTTATAGTTCAACAGTATAATCTCAAAGAAGTTGAACAAAAAAAAGTCAAAAGAACACAAACATGTTATTTGAAAATAACCATTGGGCATTTGCAGTACCTTAACCAAGGAACAGGATATTTGAAGGAGAGCAGCATTGAATCACATAGCAATTGAATGTGATATGTTTAATTACAAAATGAATTCTTTATTTAATTACAGACAAAAAAATTGCAAAGTTCAAGGAGTGGGTGGTCTATAGCGAACTAGAGCCAAAGCCAAACTCATCCGCCATTGAGGTACTAACATACCTGGCCTATGAAACAGTAGCAGAGGTTTGTTGTGTTTTATTCATTTGTAGGAATTGGGATGTTATGATAAATAAGTTGAAATAATAACTACATTTTTTTTGTATTTTCTTTCATGCTTCTGCAGAATGTAGATGTTTTGTACACCCGACAATGTGAACACTCAATTCTAGCCATCTTTGGCTGCCACTCAAACAGACTCTGCTGCCAGCAGTGGCAGCTCAGGATTTACAAACAGTGACAGGGGTGGGGCACGGGGTATGGTTATATTAAAATTAAAATTAAAACTTCTTTTATTAGCAATCAAACATCAAACTTTGTATAATTAATTTAAAATTTTACTCCTCCATTAATCTTTTTCCATTGCAGATTGTAGATTTATCATTATATGTAAGAAGAGATATGAATTCAGCATTTCTAGAGCCGAACGATAAACTGAGTGCTCCCAAGTTTGTAAATAGCGGAATATGTGCTGGACAGTTTCAGATGTCACATATGAAATCCCACTCTAAGAAAGCATCAGATCAAGCCTCCCCACCTGCTTCACCCTCATCCAGTTTGGTATCTCCCAGTATTACATCATCAAACAATTTCGCTTCTCTTGCTGGCTCAACTAACCAATCGCAGACTGAATTTGCACAGCCTTCAGATATTAAGACAGGTTCAACATTAGGAAAAGCCAAGGCTAAGAAACGGAAAAAGGTAAAGTGTCTACATTTGCAGTTCTCATCAGCAATTACTGATGTGTATCTTGTCAATTATTTGGCTTGAGCTCTGTCCAGACTATCAAATTTTCTTTAACAAAAAACTGTTGTATGCCTGTAAGGTCATAAATGAAAATGTGCCACAACCTACAGCCATAATCTCGCCTATGGAGGTGGAAGAAATCTTCTCGGATAAGACTATAAAATGAATTATACACAATTGGCTCATGTACACTTTAAAGAACCCAGTACCCCGGTGCACTGGTCCATGACACAGCCCCTGCCATTGTGAACTCATCCAGATACTGATGATTAACTGAACAGGTCATGATGTGATATTATCATGACCATATTTAGTTCACTATAAAATGAAAGAGAGAGAAAATTGTCCTGTACTGGAGCTTGGTTGTGAGTTCAGAAACTCCACATCCTACACATGCACCTTCTCTTGAACAAGATGTACCACAAACGGAGGCTTTTTAAATTCTCCCTAGCATACATCCATATATCTTTGAGAATAAAGTTTATCACAACCTAAAACAACTCTATTCATTTGAGCCTATGCATCTTCACATACAAAATGTAGCAGGGCGACATTTTGAATTTTCGCAGGCATACATCCATGTACAAGTTTATAAGAGCATCATGTAGTTGCTTGCCATGTGTTAAATGCAATTATGTAATGTTAAGGCCAACTCAGACAGCGTCGGCCGACGCAGCCCGATGCGATTTGCTGTCGCGTCGGGTCTGTGTGAGTTGAACGCAGACGCGATGGTGTGCGTCAGGGGCAGTCGCGTAGTAGAATATTAAACATGTTTAATATTTCTCACGACGGCTTAAGACTGTCCCCGACGATAAATCGGGTCGGGCTGCGTCGGCCGACGCTGTCTGAGTTGGCCTTTAGACTAAGTTTGTGTTTTTTCAATTGTGCATACTCATTATCTAAAGTCTAGTTTTGTTCCTTATAGGCAAGTGGGCCATCGCCATATGAAGTAGCAGTAGCCAACGCCTTACAGCCACACCATATCCGAGAAGCTATCAGACGATTTTGGAATAGATCAGAACAAATGGGCTTCTAAGTTTAAACTACTTTGCTCAAAAACGTCAAAAAGAACTCGTTTTTTTTTCTCTGCATTGCAGTGCATATTTTGTTATTAGTGTAGTGACTTTGTTTTGTATTATACTAGTACAAATTCCTAATAAAGTAATAAGTTTAGGAGACCCATCACCAGTGGGTTGTAAAAAATATACACACTAACAACGAATGAAATCGTAGTAAACACGGACAAGTGTATTTAGCTGAGGCTAAAAGTTGAGCAAGTTAATTGGCTGAGTTGTTAAAACAAGAGGGCCACAAATTACAGTCATATAAGTGTGCTAACCATTGTTCACAGGAAAAAAAAGGATCCAAGGAACTCCAAAACAAGCACATTTTTGGTTTAAATTCTGTGTCTGTGGTCTGCATACGCTACTGTGTTTGAAATATTTGTATACGCTACTGTGTTTATAATATTATATATGGATAAGGACTATAAACCATAAACCCTGTGACTCTTGTAAGGAAGTTACTGTTATGAGCTAGTCTATGCATATAAAGTGCTATTATATATAGCTGTATAAAGCATTGTATAAATCTACTACATTTGCACTGTTTCAAGACCATCCTTGGTCATGGTTCTGGTGGAACAGAGCCAAGTCTTCTTGGTTAATGACAATAAGCCATGTGAACACAAAATAGGTTATTCTTTAAGAATAACAGGATTACGACAGCATTCTGATCCAAACCACTAATCTCTGTTAAAATAGCTGGATTGCTCATTGGCTGGTATTAGTGAAGCCCAAAACATCACAGACACTTCATCACAAAGCAAAACTTTAGAACCACCAACTATTTGACAACTGCAGAAACAGGTTTACTGAGTGGTTAGAGGATGTGCAAAAAACGTTTAATAATTTTTTTAAAATTAAGTATTGCAAGAATCTTTACAAATGTAAACAACTTGTCTAGACTGTACTGCATATGGTGTCAGTGGCTTCACTTCTTTCTGTACTGTGATTAGCCTATGAGCAATCCAGGTAAATGTGTTCTTAGTCTTCTTTTTTTCACTTACACTATTATAAAACATGTGTCTTATCTATCAAAACAAAAATGTAGTTAAGGATGTGTTATTTTATAAGGAAATAAGAAAAAAGTATTTCTAATTAAAAATGTGTTTTGAGTCTATTGTTACATAGTCAAACAATATATAAAATAAAGGGGTTAAAAAGAGGCAGTCCAAACCCTCTCCCTCAACAGTAGGTAAAAAGATTTTAAGAGATTAAAATGGCTAAAACTTACATGGCTAAAACTTACATTACTCTAGGGGGCTGAGCAACCCCCCTAGAGTAATGTAAAGGTCCAACCTGAAGCTCTGGATGCACAGGTCAGAGTGCCCATCCCTCTTTAAATGGTGTATGATTGAATAATAATAATAATAATTTTAATATTTGAAAACACAAACCATACATTTTAAAAAGTTTTATGTATTTTAATATTTTGTTTTCATTTGAAATAACACAGGTGATTCAGCTAACATGCTTGCTAGATTGTTCTGAAGTTGGATTATCTGATTGTTCAAGTATTATCGTCGTTGAATCACTTGTCTTATCTATGTTGTCGCCGGTTAACATTTCAATAACTGAAGAACCTCCATTGTCGACAATAACATAAACAACTTCTTCTGAGTTCCTATCTGTTTCACTGTCCATTTCCTTTGCGACCAGCGTAATGTTATTTTCCAACAACTGCAGTTCTTGTTGCTGTACATTACTTTTTTTTGCATCATCCATATTACAACCAGGTTGGAAGTCTTGTGATTTCAAATTACCATTCTTCGAGTTATCCATACTTTTGTCTGGTGCATGATTAGCATGTGACGCTTCATCTTGTTTCTCTTCAGAGATGTTTGATATAACTATAGATTTGTCAACTACTAGATTTGTTTCTTGTTTCTTACGCTCACCATCTTGCCTAGTACACCTGGCATCTTCCTGAGAACACCCGGCATCTTCCTGAGAACACCCGGCATCTTCCTGAGCACACTCGACTTGGAATATTTCCTCATGATTACCCTCCGACATCACTACAACTTCGGTTAGATTTTCATCATTCGGTGATTGTGACTGTAGGTTATTAACAGCCTGAGCAATCGCTTGAATAGTTTCCGCAGCTTCCATTTCTTGATTATCTGTTATTGTTAACAAGTTTCCATCACCTTCGTGAAGATAAAAATAAATCTTAATTTCAAACTTGGAAAATTTTAAAATGTTATCTGAAGTACAGAAATTCTTCAATGGCAACGATATAAAAAATACACAGTACATATATATATAATTTTAGTGTCCATTGTTAGTCCGTGCAACCTGTCTAAAGTAATGTCATTTGATAGCATTTTATGTGTCAAGTTGAGACTCTGGATATCTGTTCATGTTCATGATTATCCCCATGTGAATCATGCCTAACATGCCTGCCAAGCTCCCTACAAGGGCACATCTACACTAAGGCTAGGGCCAAGGGCTAGTGACCATTTACTACTACTGTGGTGTATTCATCATTGTACAAATAAAACATTGCCTGCATAGAAACTACTGTACATGCATACATACAGCTAAGCAATGTGGAATAAATTTCCGTATACAGTAGAACCCTTATTAAGGAGACACCTTTGGGACCAAAAACAAAAAAATTTCCCCTTAATAGGAGTGTCCCCTGAATAGGTGTTGGCTGTAGTGTTGAAAGATAAACTTTTCTTTGTTTTCTGCCCGAAAGTGTCCCCTTAATAGGGGTGTCCCAAGGGAGGGTTCTACTGTATGTACTAACCTTGAACGTCAAGGATGATTTTTCCAATGCATTGGTTGTCTTCCATATATCTATGGGCTTCACCTACCATAGACAGAGGCAAGATACGGTTCACAATTGGAGACAGTGGTACAGTACTCGTTGGAGCAAAGTGTGGTAGAATTTTCTCAGAAAAAGATGCTACGAGATTGGCCTTGTACTGTAAACAATAAAGAAACAGCATAGATGTACAGTAGTAATTATTCAACACCTTTATTTTTACTCCTCATGTTATACTCTTACTGAGAACAAGGACCAGAACAACTGCTTTTCTCCCTTTCTAAAAGGAAGTATTTGCCATCAGAAATGACTTATGTTTCCTTGCAAATTTATTCATAGTTATTAAGGAATCAACTTCACTGCAAATGCAGTAGTAAAAAAAAAAAACAGACAAGTTCAAGACAGCTGTCCCAAGTCTCCCATAAGAAGGCCTCCTGCACTTCCGTGAGCAAGCAAGAAACTCCAGGGAAAAAACCAGTCTTGCAAAATTAAAAATATTTGCATGTTTTACAATTTTTTGCTGTTGTTGTTATCAATTGTCCCCGCTAATGTACCTCAGTATGCACAGCAAAATATAATTAGACTTTTAAGAAATCCCTTTTTGAAAGATCTCCAGGATTTGGTGTTTTTTTTCAACTTGGGACCCCTGGTTCAAGGCGAATTATGCATGACAAAAAACAAACAAATCCATATTATATTAAAGGTACTATATGCAGATGTAATTTAATCTCATGTTTTCATCAGGTGATTAGTGTTACTTAGAATAATTCATAGACAACAGAATAAGTGGGAATGAAGTAAAGATTACTGGGGATGTCTGTTCACTGGTACTGGGTATTTATATTGTGCCTTTCCCTTGCGGATATAAATTGCAAGCCAAGCCTTAACAATTCAGGAAAACAATGGTAGGCATAAAATCAGTTATTATTCAGGAACCCCAAGCATCACAATAGTACAGTCACACAAAAAACCGACAAATAAACAGATGAAAAAAACAATAAAACACAAATGGAAAGAGCAGCAAAATTGTGTGGTTTCTCCATATATGGGTGTGATACACAGTATCATGCCCATATATGGAAAAATCACATGAATCTATCTTGATAGTAGACTGAGTGTCAGCTAAAGCAATGTTCAGACAAATTTTTTTTTACAAAAACATGTGACATGCCTAAAATAAGGTCATGATGACATCACAACATGACCATATATAGGCATAATACACCATTTTTTGATCAAATAAAATGTTGATAGCGTGGGTAGGGCTTAAGAATTGTACCTTGTATGTACTTGCTCTGAGTTTAACACCCTTGATTGTGATTCTTTTGTTCAGTATGGTGTCAAATAAGGGTCCATTTATGTTGGCACCGGAGAGCACCCCGTACACAATCCAGTGCCCCTCTGGAGCTATAACTCTAGCATTGTGTTCCCAATGTGTCTCTCCTACACAGTCAAGGATCACATTTACACCTTCCCCTATAAAGAGCCAACACACAATTACTACAGTTGAACTTGCCTAAGTCGAATTCAAAATGCCATTTAAATATTGTTCGATTTAGATAAAATTTGACTTACAGGTTGTTAATTAATGGAAAACAATTTAGCATGTAAAATAGGATCGACTTAGGCACAGTTGATTTAAGCAAGTTCAACTCTATACAATATGTTTAAAGCAAACAAAGAAATGTTGCAAAATACAAATTAATAAAAAAGTATTAAAAATATGAATAAATAGAATTGCTCATTTCATATAACAAATCATATGTATATTGATATAATCTATCATCTACTGATTGACTACAATATCTATTGTTCATTATTTATGCTATGGATCATAACAGTAATATATGCATGTCTCTTTCAACCAGCTAATGCTGAGGCTAATAAAATATTGTTTTTCAATGACAGATTTTAAATAAATAATACTAAAAATAATTTTTTTAAATAACAATAAAAACAACAACAAAAGTAATAATAAAATATTGTTCAATAATATAGTCTTCACGACTGTGGAGGTAGATTCTAAATAAATAATAATAGACATAATTAAAACAATAACAACAAAAGTAATAATATAAAATTGTTTAATAAATACTTTTTTCATGATTGTAGTTGTTGATTTTAAATAAATAATAATATAAATAGTTAAAACAAATAATAGTAGTAATAATAATAATAATAATTATTAGTAGTAGTAGTTGTAGTAAAATACCTTTGGTTAATTTTAAAATGGAATCAGCAAACTGGTCAGTTTTGTAGTTAAAACCATCTACTGCTCCTAAGTTCTTACAAAGCTCAATTTTTTCAGGGCTACTGGTCGTAACAATGGCTTTGCCTCCAGCTAGGTTAACGAGTTGTATTGCAGCTGTTCCCACGCCACTAGCACCTGCATGTATCAGTACTGTGTCCCCAGCTTGCAGCTTTCCTGTCACAATTTAAAAGTATCCTTAAGCTGAAACTGCTGTATGCAAAAATATAGTGATGGTGATGATGTACCTACATGTGATGTCATCATGACCATATTTAGGCATGTCACATGTTTTTGTTTGAGATTCTAGACAGGGCTTTAACTTTTTAGAGTAGCTTAGCTCAGTCGTGCAAGTTCACTGAACCGTGGAGATCCCAGGTTTTATTTATTTTATTTTACTGAAGTACACTAGATATGATTACTGGTACATACCAACATTATGTAAGAGGTCATAGGCAGTTAACCAGACTTGCGGAATGGCGGCAGCCGCACAGAGCGTCATATGACTTGGAACTTGCATAATATGATCTTCGCTCACACAGACATATTCCGCATTTCCGCCACCATTGCATGGAGCCATCACTTTCATCCCTGCAGAGCAACAAAATAGAAAGACCAATAATTCAACTTGAACAAAATATAGGCACTGGTTTTAGTGTTTTTTGGAAGGCCTCTTGTAATCACTATAGAGAAGTTGGCAAATTGGAGCATCCAAATTATGAAACAGCTCACATAAAACTGTTGAATCTCTAAACAATATACTGCACTAGTACAGAAAAGCTGAATACTTTTAAATTAAGGGAGGCCTATACAATTATGTTTTTTTAAAGCATGATTTTCTTGTTTTTGTATGCACTATTACTACTGTTTACCAACAATAACACAATAAAATGTCCATACCTTTCTCCCACTTCTTCTTGCACTTGGGCCCTGCTTTCACAACAGTCCCAGAGGCTTCAATACCTAGAGCACGGCTTGCACCTGGTAATGGAGGAAGTAGGCCCTGACGCTAAACATAAAATTTTAAGTCATCTGATTTAAAACATTTAAAATACAAACAAACAATAATCTAGAACTTGCACTATTTGGAGTGGAGCAGTAGCTGGGTGGGCATTTTCACTAAATTTTAAATGAAAATTTCCAAGAACCTGGCAACTACACCGTGGGATTTCCAGAGGCCTGGACATTTCGCTCTACGTAGTTACCAGTGTTTATTGTGCTCTGTGACTGGTGCACGACCATGTTGTTGTAGAGGCCTAGGTTAGTCTTTGAAAACAAAATGCCAAAAAATAAAAGAAATAGGGGTGCATAAAACCTGCAGTGTTTTTGATGATGTTGATGACATCATGACCATATTTAGCCATGTCATATATTTTTGTCAAATAAAATTTGATAGTCTGGACTGCATCCACTACTGACACTATTATTGTTGTCATCATTAATAACACTGTTAGTAGAAAATATGTCACCGGCTCTAGCAAAGCACTACATTTGCACTGCACAAAATAAATTCAAGAATCAGTTTTATGAACAACTTCATGTTTTTGCTGTTCATAAAAGAAGATATTAAAGAACACTTAAATATCATTCACTAAATCTAACTGAAAAATATATTAAAATTATTTTCCAAAATATAAATCCTAGTAATAAACTTTGATCTTTGAAAGCGGTTTCACAGTGTGTCATTTGCTCCACAGCCAGTGGAGTATCTTAGGGGGTGCACACCCCTGCAAAAAAAACTTAAGACCCGCCCACCCACCATTGAAAACGTTTGAAGCAGAAAAAAATCACACAGAAGTAGTTAAAAATCACCTCAAATCACCTTATTTTGCAAGCTAGCTCCGGCTCATGAATCATCGGGGCTCTCAAATTCAAGACTCCCAACATATGCCACTATCCGCAGCCAAATGAATGAATGATGACAGTATAAAATTATCACTGATTTTGCTATTATTGTCAACATATATAATGTAATAAAATACAGTAAAATACTAAAAAAAAACAACACCTGTAAAGTGTCAGCTCTATTGACACTGGATGCAGCAACTTTTATCAGCACTGTATTCTTGTACGGTTCCGGTTGTGACATCTCCCCAATATATATCTTGTCAGCAGATCCTGGTTTGTCCATGAGGGCAGCAAACATGCTTGCTACTTCAGACTAAATATAAAGATTCAATAGTTAAGATTTTTCTAGGGCCTTAGCACACAACATCAAAGGTACGTGTTTGTGGGATGTGCATGTGTTCCTGGCACTGTTGCGATTGGTTATTTGTTACGTTTGCTTGAAACTACGGAATGGTCAACTAGACACACGCAGCCTACATTCCTGTGTAACCACAATATTCTCGGGAACAAATTAGCTAAACCTATAACATTACCAATTAGTAAGTTGAACATACAAGTTACCTTTGCATTCCTGTTTGGATGATTGCAATGAGTAGAGTTCTTTGGCAGAAGAATATAAATTCTTCTTTCAATCTCAACATTCTTGCCTTGCTTTACATCTTGTCGAAGGGACTTTGCAGCTACTCTTCGCTTCCATTCAGATGTTCTTGGTAACTTAATAAATATTTGTTAAAGTTATAGTCAACCATTATATACAATTCTTTTTAAAATTTGTACAGATGTACCAGTATCATATAATAATATTTTCTGACTCTGAATTTACAATTTAAAGAAGTTTACCCTATAAGATGGGAATAGTACAATCTCTTTCATTTTAATTATCGATGGACAGCCACACTTCTTGGTAATAATGTTTACCGTTCCCCGCATTCTCTTAGATTTTCGCTCCTCATTCTGTTGAAAAAACACAAATACTTTAATTGTGCATATATATGGACAAAATGATGTCTATTGAGATGTATTTAAATTTTTTTTTTTTTCAAACGTAAAAAGGTTATTAGTTTTTGGTTTGTTTTTTTTTTTGATTGGAAACTACAATTGCTCTGTATAGTTTTCCTTTTTCTAGGTCAAGCTTTCCAGCCTTATCAAAATCACATGCAAACAAATTTAGCTTAATAAAGGATGCCAGATAAACATCTCATCTTACTTTGCTTATGTTGTCTCTATATTTTAACTTCCTAGCCACTTGCATATCTTCCCCATATTCACAGAGCATGTCTTTACTATTGACATGGATATACGGACAGTTTTCATCCGAGGCCGAGAAGAAGATAACAGGCTCGCTGTCTTGTGCATTTGTTGGTCGTTGTAACAAATCCCAGTAAACCCTGTGACTTGATTTGTGCAGATCTGAAAAAAACAAAATGGCTAGAAATAAGACAACTACATGAATGGATTGTTTTATTATTGTTTTCTTACATTAATGTAACATACAATGTAGCGGATTTTTTAGGAATTTCTTCCTTAAAATATTTAATTATCCTTGACATGATTCACTCTTTCTATGGAAGTGTTATGCTATAGCATAGTTTTAGGCCCAGGCATCCACCCACCATCCTATCGTAGTAGTAGGCTACTACTAGTCACAGAAGTAGTAGTAGGAGCAGCTTTTTTGAACGGGTGCTTTAGCAACCACACTCTCCCTCTTTCAATATCCTGGAGCGGCGGCCACTTCACATGTTTTGTTAATTGATTACATACGTTCCAACACTTCCGATTTGATCAAGAGTCTCCCAAATTTTGTCAAATTCTTCCAAATTTTCAGAAAGAAGCCGAAAATACCAAAAATGTCTTTGTAGGCCTATAGGCCTAAGCTTAGACCTAGGCCTAGGTCTAATAATAAATAATATTGCTTTTTGTTTGGTAATTGAGTATTTCTCAGATTTAATCTGTGTCAATTTTTCGTTTGTCCGCTGACTACATAAATGATGCCAGCGTCTGACGTATTCCCAGGTATTCTAGGCCTATTATTACTGACACTTGGAAAGAGAGAGAGTGCATCCATGAAAAGATTTTCAACAGTATTTTTTTTTTTTTTTTTTTTTTTTTAGGCCTGATGCCGTTTTGTTATTTTGAACACAAGTTTTGTAAAATAGTTGCTCAGACGTCGACTAAGAAATATAACTTATAATGCTTTATTTTTTTTTCAGCCTAAGCCTAGCCAACAAAGTCTAGGCTACAGGCTTACAATGCCATTAGCTAGGCCCTGCTAGGGCCTACATAAAATCGCCTAGGCCTAGCGTAAGCTAAATAATCCTCGCCCCTTACCTGTTTCCCCAAATTGGTTGTGCCTAGAAAAACGAGTAGTAAACTTTGCGTTCATTTCATTTTCGTAATGTCTAACGATACTATATGCATCTTGTATTGAATGGACATATCCACAATAGTCAGAAGATTTCCCTACAAACAGGTCCTTCCAAATATGTTCTTTATCGTCAATACCACTGTCGATTATCTCTCCAGCAGACATCCTCATAACAAACACCGCTAGGGCTAGCCTAGACAACAACCCATGTAAATTGTTCCAGGATCAAGTTGGTTGGATGCACGGCCACGGATGCACCCGAAGAAACAAGGTACAGTACGAACGAGCAAAGACCGTGCGAGACATGGCGGTGGTGTAGTAAGGAGTAAGAAACACGAACAACCACACCTCAACAGCACTGTCATTGAGGGGGTATTAGCGGATGGATTTGTGTGTTATATATAAAATATAACAATATAATTGTATGTACAGTACAAATATTATTTAAATATGAGTATATAAAACTATTAAATAACATTAATGGTATCATATACAAAATTTTGTAGCCAATTTTATAGCCTGTTTTTATAACAAAAAAAATCAATGGCGAGTATCAATAATAAAATATATATAATATATTTTTTTTTAAAACCGTTCATCCTTACACATGGTGTACTGAAAGTTCAATTTTTTTTTTTTAAACAATGAAAGATAGAAAAATAAGTATTTTTATATTAATTATTTATGACAATAGGCTTACGGCATGTGGTCTCGTAGTCTGATCTTATTCAACGGAATTGGTTTCACGAATGCAAATCCGTTGTATTAAAGAGTACGAATGCAAGTATATAATGGTTCAATATCGTACTGGGCCTAACTGGTGAAATACAGAATAAGTAGTCTTATTTAAAGACATAATTAGCAGTGTCCCAAACGGCGCCCCGTATAATATACGGTAGTGTATGAACTAACGAAGCCCACTTACATATTCAATTTCTGTTTCAAAGTAATTCAAATGCAATTCAATTTTTTTCAGAAAAGCCTCCAAACGGAGAAACATGTACATAATAAATAAATAAATAAATAGGGAAAAATGCAAATCGTTCAATAAATATGGTAATTAAATTCTTTATTATTTTTTTGTTGAATAATAAACTACAAAAAAGAAACAATGAAATTAGTACAGTGATGATAATTGAATTCTAGTTTTGTTGTTGAATACGTAGATTCATCGATTAGTGTTTTAGGGTGTCTGTCAGTGATTGACGGTTGTTTTTAGCATAAAAATGAATCTTTTATTTTTCGTTTGAACTTTACCGTATTGAATATAGTTGAGAAAACGACCTCAAGGTAAATACATGGTTAATAATAATTATTAAATAATTATTATATTGATTATGTTATAGCAACTAGGCCCCCTATAGAAATAGTGGAAGTTTCTAAATTTACCAAGTGACTGAGGGCCGTGAGCTAAGGCAAGCAGAATAGCTAATTGTACTGTATACGCAAACTAAAGACCCACCCACTCCTCCCCTCCTGTATGTATATACTTAGACGAGATAATAGAGCAAAGAAACAGAATCCCAAACAAAAATCTATTAGAGCAACCAAGAAGCAAATACAAAGTAACGAACAGGGCATTGATGCCTAATATTAACTTCATGATCTCCCTTCGAACGCAATGTTATCGAAGACAACCGAGAATGAGTTGCAGAAACAATTACTTACTCCAAACTATATTCGTTGGTGTATTCGTTCTAGTGTCATTGTATTTGCTTTACAAGGGGGAAAGTGTTCAACACGATGACTTCTTGTTGGTGAACCATGAAGATAATGATCCCCCCAAAGCTAATAATTACCCGGTAGTTAATTTAAAGTGTTTAAACGACTCTGCAGCAATTACAGACACAGGACTCGTTCATCGAAAGAGAAACAACTATAACCACAGGTGAGTGTTAAAAAACATGTTTACAGTGTTTATAAAATGTTTAAGGCAAGAGTAAGTAATGATATCTTGGCTCATATTTTCATGGCAACCTATAAGTTTATTATGTCCTTTGTTTCTTACTGTTTATATAGATTGCATGTTATTCCAGTTCGTCTGCGGAAGTATATACGAAATATTGTGATAGTAATCTCAACAGTCTTTATTTCAATTTAAAATCAATTTAGTTTGATCTCAACTGAATTACATGGGAATACATTTAATGAATTTAAAAAGACAGAAATACAAACAGTGCCACGTTTTGCTTTTTTACCGTTGGCGAATCTGGAGGGGGATCAGGGGGTCCTGACCCTCCCCCTCTCCTTGTGCGAAACAAATATATAGACCTTTCTAGGACCCGTTAGCTGATTTTGTGTTTGTTACAAGGGGAAAAAATTAGAAGTCGGGAAAGTTTCTAATTGATTCATGGAAGAAAGAATACGTATGCAACTATTCAATTTTGTTTATGTATATACAAACATAGGCCTATTTACTGTAATAAGAATGAAAAAAAAATACCTGAACGTTTTAAAGAGGGGATAAAACCTTGAATTTTAACTTAAAAGTTATTTAAAAACACAGTGAATATGAGGTGTCGTGACAAAACGAGTCGCATTATAACCAATCCGTTATGTTTAAACAAAAGACTCATTACAGATAATGATTCACTTACTGTATTTTGCTTTTTTACCCCCACCCTCATGCTTGTTTCTTTGAGTTTTCTTTGTATAGACCTATTGTTTATTATCCGCCTTTTATTTTTATACTATTTATATGGTTTTATGTTACTCCACCTATCATTCACCTGAATAAGTATCTGTGTCTAGGAAAGCTTGTGATAAATTACAAATGGTCTTAAACTCCTACTTCCCTTGACTCTATCAAATTTCATCGAAAGAGCGTCACATAAAATGTGATGGAACATAAAGCTTTGTCTATACTTATGAAATTATATATGACAAAAAAATGTGATGTACTCATATATGGGTACGATGACATCATATCACATATTATCAAATTGTATTAAAAAAATGTTGAACGTGTTCAACTCTTATGTTTCATCACATTTTATGCTTTTTTGATTAAATTTGTGTGTTGAACACGTTCAATTGTTTTTGATACAATTTGATAATATGTGATATGACGTCATCGTACCCATATATGGGCACGTCACATTTTTGTCACATACATTTGATAGTGTAAGCAAAGCTTTATACTGTTCCAATTATATGACAGAGGAATATATCGTGACAAAACAATTAGTTAAATTATACGCCAGATAATTTCATATACTATACTGTCATATAATTGACGGGGACTTATCACTCTAGAAAACACATGAGAATTGAATTCATTATTCATTCATTATTTGAAGGATCTTAGTAATTATTCAGATATGTACTGTGTATACTAGGTAACTGGAACCACCTCCTCAGTGATTGCGGCTGATACGAAGACGTACCGTATGTTCATTAAATAACGGAGTGAAATATATTTCAAAGTAATCATATGAATCACTAAAATAAGTGAATACGTGACGAATATAGCCTACTGTTATATGCTCCAGTTTCTACTTTATTCGTTATCAGCATTTTACCTGCTGCCTTTCTCAATATTATAAATACAATTATTGGCTCACATTTCTTCATCTAAAAGGTAATTTTTATTTATTTATTTGTTATTATTAATTTGTCTTTAATTTGCAAAGGTCTTTCTAAGATTATAGTTAAAGTTGCTTGTGGTTTGTATAAAAGACGTGTTTTACTTTGTGACGACACCTATTTATAAATATTACAAAAACTGAATAATACAGATATATAGCTTTAGTATATTATGTGTTACCTTCTTTTAGAATTTACCTTGCCGTAGTCTGTTGCGGCGATAGGTCTGAGGAAACGTTGGTAATGTTGAAATCCGCTGTCTTAAACACGCAAAGAAAACTACATTTTCATATATTTGCAGAAGAAGAATTGAAGCCAGGACTAGCAAAATCGGTATGAAGATATTTTGTTTTCATTTGTCTTCAGCTCATCGTGACAGTGTATCTTTAAACGCACCACACACTTTTACGTAAATTAGAAATTTCTTATCAAAGGATCGTGTATAATATAAAATATAATTTGCGTGAATAAGAGATTTTTAATGATAATTATCTTGTTCTAGTAATAAACTCTTACACATTAGATATATCAATTGTGTAAATGATTAATCTGCCTAAACACACGAGCATACTAAATCTTTCCATGTTTTAATGTGATATGCATTCTGTAAAATTTGAAACCATTCAGAATTGCCAACTCAAACCCATTTTCAAAATGTCTGAAAGTGCTATTTCCCCCCAAGCGTCCGTAGTTATTTTAGACATTAGAATAAAATGCAGTATCATCTTTTTTTAAATGTGTACTTTTTAGCAAATAGTGCAGTGTTCTCACCAAGCCGGATTTGCTGGTATCTCATTGATATATTCCCTGTGATACCGACATTATTTGCCATAATAAAAAGCTCTCCACGAAGTTAAGTCAAACAGAATAATTATGTTTGGATGAACATACTTCGTTTATGAAGCAGACATATTCTGTATTGAATATTTTGTTTAGAATCGCAATATTAATAGTTTATAATTTAACAGCATTGCTTTGCTTAGCCTTTCTGGATTCTGCGTGGTATTTTATTATCTACATGGCTTTGCATATCCTTTTTCTGAAATTTTGAGTGCGATAATTTTCCTTTTCTGTAGCAAAATTTCAAACCAGGTGTTCAATATTCATCTTACAATTGCTTTTTGACAGAACATCCACAAATTAATGAGGCATGACATCCTAAAACCAGTGTACAGTTGCTATATGTTGAACCATAGAGGAACCTCCGTGGTTAAACTGGGCATAACAAGCTTAATAATGTGGCAGTATTGTATATTTTAGTACAGATAAGCCATTACTATTATCATCATTATCATCATTATCATCTTTTTTATTATTATTATGCAATTAGCTCAAGTCCTGGCCAACTGATTTCCAAGCAAAAATAGAATTCACTCTTCACTCGATTCAGTTTCCAAATAATGAGAATCCTGAAGAATGGAAGAGTTTGTTCAGAACCTGTGCAACTCAGAGGCTCTTTATACCTGTAAGTAAAAGTATCGTTTGTACAACTACAATATAAAATGGGGCTACATTTCTGCTTTTTTATCTTATTGGAATGAATAGGCCGATAATATTTATTTAGATTTATTCCTAGTACAGTATATGCTAACCTTTTTTATCATTGGTGGAAAATATTTTTTTTATTATTCGAAAATAGAGCCATGGCTCTGCCCGACAAGTGGTCAAGGTCCCCGGCAGGAGGGTCAAAGGCTCACGACAAAGTTCAAGATCCCTGACAGGGGGCCCACATCCAATCAGCCTCTCACAAGTGGTGGCCTCAGAACTTGCTGGCAGGGGATCCAACAAGTCCGACAAGTGATCCGAACCCTGGGGCGGATACAGAGGATTCGATCGCAAAGGAGTGCGACCTAAATTGTATTAAGAAAAATAATTGAAGGCCTATAAAAAAAATATTGTATTGTTGATAATTATGAAAATAAATGAAATTAAAACTGGTATGAGTTCAATTTTCGGGCACGTAGGTGTCCATATTCTCAAAATGTTCTCGCCTCTGCAGCCCCAACCGTGGTGAGGCTATGAGGTGGTGTGGACTCTCAGCACCGCCTGCAACCAAAGCCTGCATCCGCCCCAAGAACCAAGGCCCCCCCCCCCCCCCAGAGACGGTCATATGTTCTGAATTGAAATTATTGGATTCATGGGGAAAGATTTTAAGGCGTAGGATGGCCAAAGGTCATGTCTTTAGATCAGAATGCTAAGGTTTGGCTACCACAATAACTTTTTTAAATCGGAAAATTAATTTTTAGTCCGACGATCATATCGTGGCGTCGGACAACTTGAGAATTGACCTGTCTGACAGAAATTAAAACCACTGATCCCGTCCCTTCACCCTCCTCCATTTACGCTGCTATAGGGCCTACCACCTTCCCCAGAAATCAAAAACATTTCAATTAATCTGTTATACATAACTTGCTTTTCAGGATGTCCTGACCGATGTTGATTCACTATTGTACGTGGATACCGACACCCTTTTCATACGACCACCAGAGTCCCTTTGGTCATTCTTTAACGAATTCAACGCGACACATCTAGCTGCTCTAGCGCCTGAAGATGAGATCGCAGAAGTGGGCTGGTACGACCGCTTCGCAAGGCATCCATATTACGGCTTAGCCGGTCTGAATTCGGGAGTTTTGCTCATGAATCTAACGAGAATGCGTTCATTTGGATGGACGGAGAAAATTGTGCCTTTATATCATGAATATAAACAAAAAATTCCATGGGGCGATCAAGATCTACTTAATATTTTATTTTATTATCATCCAGGTAAAGGTTTGACAGCTGGCAGTTTAGTTTTATGACTTGCAGTAAAACAAAACGATCAGGCTAAAAATAAAATCATTGTCTTTTTCATTCTTCACAAAGACGGACACAGGAACACTTGTCCTAATTATAGTAAAATAGACCCCAAATAATCATAATATTTGTTATAAAATTATATTAGGAAACAATTAAATTGTAGTACTAAATATACGAAACAATTATTGTTGATATTTACTGTATAATTATATAAATATATTATGACAATTTGAACTGTAAAACAAACTTTAATTGCAGTGGCTATATAGGCCTATTCTTTTTTTATTTGTGATTAGCTAAAATTTATCAAATCAAAGAATCTTTAACACATGGATGTCTGTATTCATATTGCCACATGAAATCATATTTTTCATTGTTTTCTTTTTATTTCAGATCGTGTATTTATTTTTCCTTGCGAGTGGAATTTTCGTCCAAATCACTGTATATGGTTTAAATCTTGCTTTCGGACCAACATTCAGGGCGTGTCCATAATCCATGGTAGCCATAAAGTGTTTCATAGTGATAAAAACTGGCCATTCAGGATCGTTTACGAAGCTTTTTTAAAGGTAAGTCACATGCGCATCAAACATAACTTTATTCTCACGTTTATCTACTGTATAGGCATATGGTTATAATTATTTCATGGCAGTGGCGTATCTAGGGGTGCGCGGGTGGAAGTAGGGCCTGTCCTCCCTCTTCCACACGCCCTTTCCCAATCGCGATTTTTCCCCGTACGAAACATTTGCATGAAACTCCAGTCGGGCTTCCCCCCAGTGGCGGCGCCAGCGGGGGGCAGGGGGCTTAAGCCCCCTCCTGGACAGGTCAACCACCCCCCATCCGCCGGACAGAGCTCGTCGGGCAGTCAGACCATATAACATATAAAAATAGGCCCCCACCAAGCACATGTCTGTCACAGTCTGAGAGTGCCATTTTGGGGGGGGGGGGGGGGGGGGGGGGGGGGGTGTAGAACTTAAGCCCCCCGCTGGCGCCGCCACTGTTCCCACCCCATTTAAAGACTCCTGAAGACGCCACTGCTACATGGCAAATAAAGAAAATAGCCGAGATATGACACTGAACCGCACCGTTAAATGTCAACCACATTATAAATATTCAACATATTTTGCTCATGTTTAAGTTCTTATATTTTTTTTTCTCAGTATAAACTTGGATTAACTCCTGAAACTCACTTAGTTCAAAATTTGCAACGCAAATTATCTAAACTGAAGTCTTCAGATCTGTTCTGTGGTAAAACCTTACTTCAGCCGGTGATAACAACACTTAACAGCGTGCAAAGATAACAACAAACAATTTTATAACGTATTGTAGGCCTATTTTTAAAATTGAAAATGTGAAATCTTTTGCTGCTGTTTCCACCACATGCCTATTATTATCTTAACAGCAATACTTTGCATAGTCAAAAGATAGCATTGGAGAAAGTTTTTTTTTTGTTTTTTGTTTTTTGTTTTTTTTTTGTTTCATTTGCAAGTTTCCTAACGATGTTTGTTGAGTTTATTTGATACCTTAATAAAGAAATGTTGAAATCATGATGTTCGTGCATGGAGGTATAATTTGTTTTAGGCTCTTCACGATAAATGAGGCTAATTAAGATCCAATCCAGTGTCCATCTGATGCACAAACCGTCACAATAAATTACAGGAGTTTGAGTTTGCCATCGCTAAACATAAACATACATATTCAGTGGCGGATCCAGGAATTTGAAATAGAGGGGGCCCAGGGGCAGTGGCGAATTTAGAGGGCCGTAAGGGGCATACGTTCCTCAGGTTTTTGTAAAAAAATAATGTATCAGAAAACGATAGTGGCGCCAGGATATGACCGACGGGGGGAGGGTCCGAAGTCCCCGACGGTGGTGGGGGGAGGGGCGATGTCCCCGACGAAAAAAGTGGGTGTGGTCAGGCGTCGCTCAATGTCTGTCGGAAGTGTTCCATCCGAAAAATATGACAATTTAGGGGGTTTAAAGGCTTATTAAATCGATTTTTTTGAGCTACTAATAGGGGCCTAATTTATGTAGAAAATACATATACTGTACATGTTTTTTTTTCTCCCCGACGAATTGTGGTTTTACCCCCAACCGGCATTGAATCAAACAGTATTGCAATGCGCTGTCGGTTCGATTTTAGGAACGTGTGTGGGGAAATACATTAAACTCATACTCCCCCTCTCCCACTCCGTGGCATTGCACAGCAAATACTCACTCTTAACAGTACGGTTAAAACTCAAAATGCAAACAACACTGACAAAATTTCGGTATGGAACATGGAGTTTCGTATTAGCAATTTGTCTTTAATTAAAAATAGAACTTGAACAATGAATATAAACACACTTGTTATTTAATATCTTCTTAAGACCTTATTATTTCCCAAACAACAAACCATATTTGAAACGAAATATCGTATTAATGCTCGATTAATTTTATTGTAAATGTATGTCAAAGAAACAGAAATAAACAATTTAAAAACACTTGGTTTATGTCAGTTAATTATAAAATATCTGATGCAGACTGACGTTCTCTTTGATGATTATGATAGCGTGTCAGTATCAATATTATTCCATAGGAGCATCCATAGTTAAATTCCCACACGATTAATATTCAAAACGGTGTACATTCAATTCAATTCAAATAAATTTAATTCTCAAAAATAACACAATATTTACAAAAGATTAATTGCAATTTTTTCTGAGAAAAGGGAAACCCACAGTAAGCTAGGCTTTTAATGTGGGTCCCTAAACTAAAAAAATAAAAATATGGTACAATTGTAACTCAAATAAATATAGTTGTATATTGTTGTACTGTAAATTAAATATTGTTCTTTTCTAATGATATGACAATATGAATATAGAAATACTTTTATGGTTGAAACAAAGTATAAATGTAATTGATATTTAAAACTATTCATATTCATACATGGGTTGGTCAACAGAATTTCGTTCCGATTAAGGGAGAAAGTGTTATTTATCTAATAGAGGAGTGTTAATTGGTTGAAGCTAAATCCGGCTATAAAAAAATTATTGGAAGAATAAAAATGGTTAATTAATACTATTAATAATATTAATAATAATAACTATCAATTGTATGATTAATACTTACAAACGTACGACGTTTAATATATTATACATTGACCTATCATGGTAATGAATTATATAAAAAAAATATAGGCCTATGTACCGTATTCGAATAATATTGTTGAGAAGGGGGTTTATTCGAGTGGCTATTTATTTATTTATTTTTTGGGATAGATACGTATATAAATGCCCTTTAGTGGGGGTGGGGGAGGGTGGTGGTGGGAGTGGTTATACACATCTAGATGTGTATAAGAGACAGGTATAGGGTTCTATTGGGCCTACTGTATTCTATTGAACCTCCAGTTTGTTCATCACAATAATGAGATACGGTATATATTATTTAGTTGTTCAACAAATTGTCGTGCGGCCGGCCTATAATAGAAAAAATAATTATGATGCTTTTAATTGTGTTTTTCACAATATTAATTTTGTAAAGTCTTTTTATCTCAATCATATTTATTATCATTGCTCAGGAGAACATAAATTTGTTTTGCTTTGTTGGTAAAACACAGAACAAATACACAAATGGATATAAAGATCACCAACACATGTATTAGAGGCCGATGGCATGATTTCAGACATTGGAATTTAAAATGTTCATAAGCCATACTCTTTATATAATTTGACGCATCGGATATGCAGCATCATACCCAGTGGCGGATTTAAGGGGCGGGGGGAGCACGGCCGCCCCTTCCCCTTTTAAATTTTTCAAAATTATTCAAAAAAAATGTAGAAAACAAAGAAAATTATATTATTGAAGTCTGAGAGTACCGTTTCGACTATCTAGAGATGCCATAATCATAAATTTTCTTACCTCAGACCCAACCATGAATGGTGGGGCTGAGGAGTATTTACTCCCTATGTGGAACTTTTTTCCGTGGCCCTTTCCCCCTTTCTTTCGAATTCCTGGATCCGTCACGTACCGTAGGTCCTACCATAGTGTTGTTCAGTGAAACTTACCGGCAAAACAGTCAAAAGACTAGAAAATACCTAACAAATTCAATAACATTTTAATCAATTTTGTAGTAAAATATCTGTAAATCGGTGAAAACATTGGTTGGAAGCTAAGCTAATAATTATTCTTCTTAATTAGCTATTCAAATTTTTTTGAGGTATTTTCCTGTATTTTTATCAACAGAATGCGGATACCTGTGAATTTAATACCTCCTTGCTGAGACATAGATACACGTGAAAAGTTCACAGATGATACTGAAAGTATCGATCCACTTGTAAAACACGATTTAATAGGACGTAATAATATTGCGCATGCGCAGAAGGAAAAGAACCAATGTATTAACAGCACCCTTGATCGTTCCGATCCTCCGAACCCATGTTTGCGCTGCCTGTTTTGGTCTCATCACATGTGGTGGTACGGTTTTGAAGGAAGAATTTTTTTTCTCTTCGTTTTAATGGTTTTAGCCTGACTTGTTTACAATTTGTTTCTAGAATTGGATACTGCACCACTTCTTCAATTATGCAACGCATTGTGTAAGTTAAGGTCATTACTTACGAAAAATAACATAGGCTAGATAGTAGCCCTAGGCAACTCGAAAAGGCTAGTGTAGGCTAGCTAGCCCACGCTGCTAGGCGTAGGCCTCGTCTCTACAGTTACTTGGTCTAGGCCCTAGGCCTACCTCGGTCTAGGCCCAGGTCTAGGTTGAGTTGGTCTAGGCCTATCCTTGGTCAACCAGACCTGCCCTGGTGGATTGGATAGGTTAGCCTGTCTGCCTTCTAGGCTGTAGTATTAGCGTACCAAAGATTTAAAATGTTTAGCCAACTGAGCTATGGCAATGCTGCTAATTATGATAGTGATTTATAACTGTTTAATGTTTTTGTTTAATTAATATTTAAAAATCAACTTTTATTCCAGGAAACCAAAGAATCAACGAACTAAAAGAGCTCTAGAACATCGAGCACCCAAGTTAATAGAAAAAACAAAAACTGCAATGTTTGTCCGTGGTGGTCGAACCAGTGAGCGGGTCACTCAAGTACTAAAAGAATTGTATATGCTGAAGAAGCCACATGCAGTTATGTTTAAAAGGTGAATTTTGATTATATTTAATATATATATATATATAAAAAAAAAGTGAGTGAATTTATCTTTATTTTTTAGGCATCATACAGTAACAATACATTACCACAATGTCAAAATTTAGGTTGTCAACACAATATTCAGTTTTTCGGGTCACAAACTTTAAAACAGCCTACTACGTGTACAATAATTAAATTCCCATTAATAAACCTGTTCTCAATAAAAGTTAACAAATTTCGTGTATCAACATACAGTCATGAATTCTAAAACTAAAAAATAATTTTTTTTATATATTTGTCAAATTCATTAATCACCAATACTTTTTAACGGTTTTCATTTTATGTACAATTTTCCTTTAACAGCTGTATCTATACAATATATTGATTATTTTCTTTTTGATTCAGGCAGCCCTTCACAAGCATTGCTTTTTGGGTTTCTTTCAAAATTAATATTTAATCTATTTCTTTACAAATTGTACATACTGTAAATGAAAAAGAATTAAATGAATGTTTAACTTTAATTGAACATGTTGAATATTTAATTGAAACGCAAACTGTCTGAAGTCTGGTGATTCATACTCTACTTTAAAATCTTGATAGTCTTCCAAAATGGGGTCAATAAGGAGCGATCACGTTGTAGCATCTTCATGTCAAGTTTTTAGACCTAAATCGACAAGGCTCTACAGAGTATGAACTGGTGAATAGACACGATAAGAAGAAATAGTCTACCTTGATTCATCTGAAATGTTAACGAAGCGAATATTTTTTCTTTTTTAGGAAAAACATTTTAAGGCCATTCGATGACCAAACATCATTGGTAAGTCTTCAAGTTTATTGGCTTCAGGTAACCATTTACTAGTTAATCATCTAACTTATCGATAGGCACTGGGCGGCCCAACAGGAACCATTGCACTCAGCAGACCATTTTTGTGTGTGCAGCCGGTCTACCATAATTATCTATTAAACACTTTGTCGTTAAAGCTTGATACCAATCATTTGTAATATTAATAATGCAATAAAACATATAAAGCGCCTATTAATGTTAAAAGAAACTTGCCACCAGTGCTAAGAGATAAATTATTGAAAAACAGCTACAAAAAAAATCATAAAATAACAGAAAATACATTAATTAGTGAAAAATTACAAAAATAAGCAGCATTATATAGTTTTTTTTAAGGCACACTGGATAGGAACATCAAATTTTCAATAATATCAGAGTTTGCCTGCGGTCCTTGGTGTTAAATCAAAAATAAACTTTAGCTCACACATATTGTGACCATTTTTTCTTACAGGAATTTTTTTCCAATATGAATGATGCGTCTCTGTTCCTTTTTGGCTCGCATTCTAAGAAGCGACCCAACAATCTTGTTTTTGGTAAGAACAATCTTTAAATATTTTTTTTGTGTGTTGAGTCTAAACTAATTTTTAAAAAATGTGGGGGTTAGGTTTTCTAATTCCGCAATCAAAATTCAACAACTTTTTATAAAGTTTCTTAACATACAGAGACTAGTGGCTATAAATACATGTTACTCTATGTTTCGTCTATTTCGACCCCAATAAAACACTAAGACCGATGTTTTCAATGCGTTGCTGGTTAACTTTATTTCTTCCAATATAACGGTACAGAAGATACCATTTCCAAAAATGGCCATAACACTCTATACTATTATTGTATTACTATACTGTATATCACAAACTAGATTAATAATAAAAGTATTGTCTTTTCTTGACTCTAGGAAGAACATTTGATCACCAAATATTAGATATGATTGAGCTGGGAATTGATAGTTTCCAGTCCCTAAGACAGTTTAAGGTTAGTAATTGCAAAATGCACTTGCATATGTTCAATTTTACATGATATTGAAACTATTCTCTCACGAATTCACAATAAATCGTGCACCCAGAGCCTAATTATTCCTATACATAAGAGAGCCAGTATAACACAACTATAAAGCTGTGTGGACATTTAAAAAACCCAGGACAACAATCAGTAGGAAATAGTGATTACTGCTGTGCTCTAGAATAGACGTTTGTAAAAGTGTATTGAAGCAATTGCTTTTTTGTGTGCTACCTGAAAATACGACATTATATGGATTTTTTTTTTTTTTAGAATTTAAAGATCACTGAAGGAACAAAGCCCTGTTTGCTCTTTTGTGGGGAATTATTTGAGAATGACGAAGAGCACCGGAGACTAAAGAGTTTGCTTATAGGTGTGTGTCTCCTTTCTCTATTAATTAACATACAAAGTTTGATTTTGGAATTATGGTGTAATGATAATAACAAAGAATGGCTAATTGAGGACCTATGATCCAACAGGGAAGGTTTGGAATGCTATGTATTTTAGCCATTTTAACCTATTATCAAAACAAGCACTTTTTTGATACACCTGGTTTGTCCACTAACAACCCATAAAATTAAAAAATAAGTATCCTACTAAAAAGCAAATACAGTAGAACACTTTCTTTGGGACACACCCCTATTAAGGGGGACACTTATTTCTGTCACTAAATGAGGGAAAGTGTATCTTTAACACTACAGCCAACCCCTATTAAGAGGACACCCCTACTAGGGGAACACTTTTGATCTTGAAGGTGTCCTCTTAGTAACGGTTTACATTACCTTATCAAATATCATTATTAATATCTTATTAAAATATTATTTATTTCTTTTTTAAATGTGTTTTTTCTTGTTTTTACACTTTCTGTACAGTGTATTTTTTTTATTTCTATTACATATTTTGACAACAGTCATATGTAAATTGTGTATTTTCAGATTTTTTCCGTGGTGAAAATGTTTCGAATATTCGATTGGCTGGTCTGGAACATGTAATCTGTTTCACTGCCATCGCTAACAAGATCTTAATGAGAGGATACAGGTATGGACAATACAAATAACCTTGTAATGCAAAATTTCTTTAGATCAGTGAACTGTACACTAATGTGTGGTTTGTTGGTTTATTATTAACACTTTTGTTTTAGTTAGTTTTTGGTTAGTTAGGTAGGCTATTAATTCTGTTGATTCTTTTGATTGTATTTATTGTGGAAAGCACAATGTAATTATGCATTATTTCCATTACAGGGTCGTTGTTCATTATCTCTGAATAATTTTAGTCATAAACACTAGAGATTACCATTTATTTTTTTGTCTATGGTACTTAATATTTTGTCCACCTGTTTCTTATAAAAAGGTAAATCGCTGTTGGTTTAGGACTTTAGCTCATTGTTTTCCTCTCTGACACTTTTAATCATTTGTTTTTAGTGTATTTAAGCACAATATAATTATGCATTATTTCCAATACAGGGTCATTATTCATTATCTCTGAATTAATTTAGTCATAAGCACTATAGATTACCATTTATATTACTTAATATTTTCCCCACCTGTTTCTTATAAAAAGGTAAATAGCTGTTGGTTTAGGACTTTAGCTCATTGTTTTTCTCTCTGACACTTTTAATCATTTGTTTTTAGTGTATTACTATAAATTTAAAAAAGTAAATGTTCATGTTAAAACAACATAATGCAATGAAGAATTTATGCAAAAATGGGTGGAGTTTTTATTTGTTGATTGATTTGGGAAATATGAGGATTTTTCTTTCTTTGTTATAAATAAACAAAAAGTATTTCATATAAAAAAATGCCACAACATCTTTAAATTATAACTGGTTTGTATTTCCAAACTTAATAAATTAATGTGTTCTTGAGAATGACCTATATCATCTTCAATGCATTTGTTTTATGATATAACACATAAACATAAAAATAATAGCCTACAGGTAGAATTAGTTTATGACTGGTGTAACAATAGCCATGAAGTTATTTACATTGAGTCGCACTATTAAAATATTTAAAAAAAACATACTAAACAGTATTCCAAATTAGAAAAGTAGAAAATGTGTTTTACGAATCAAGGTAGACCTAGGCCTACCATATTATAGACCTTCTTTAGCTTATGTTCTTACCATTGTTGTTATTGTTATTAAATATAATATTATTATTATTTATTTGTATTCAAATTTTGAAAATATATTTTAAGATTTTTATCATTCTGTTGGCTGGTTGGATGAGTTATAGATAAATTCCATCATAGCCGATTTTTATGCTTCAGCTTTAGACCCCCCTTCCCACCCCCTCCCTCACTAGCTAGGCCAACTGCTCTCTCTCAGTTCCTGTGTGGCTATTTTTTTAAGGATTGTCAATAATGAATGCATACCACGAAGAATTATATGTACGCTATCCTTCTTCAGCGTACAGTACAGCCTTTCGAGTCCATGCAACTTAGCCTTGGCTGCCCCTACTATTTGGTTATTAGTAGTGACTCAGAGAGGCCTAGCCTAGGTTGTGTCATCAGTTTCTGTGGTAATTTTTTTATTGGATTTTCAATGCATACGTAGGTATAACGATAGAGCCAAATATACTCTTGTTTGCGATAATTTAATTACAGTTCTTAATGAATGTTACTCTTCGTAGCAACCTAAAGGTGTGGCGTGAAAAAAGCTTAAAAGGTTAATTGCACCATAAAGCAAATATTTCTGTGGTGATTGTGGTTATGTTGGTAGAAATTATGATAAAACCTCAATTAAGTGTATTAGGTTATCAGCCAATTCATTAATTATTTATTTATTTTTTTAATGCAGAACGGTTTTGAAAAAATCTGGTTGCAAGACTCCAAGAGTAGAATTAGAAGAAATTGGGCCGTCTCTGAATCTAATCTTTAGGAGGACAAAACTGGCCTCGGATGATCTTTTCAAGAGGGCCTCAAAACAACCAAAGGCATTAAAGGTATGTCATTGGTCAACACTATCAAATTTTATTTTACAAAAAAAAATGTTGTACTGTATGTCCATATATAGTAATGATCTATAATTCAATCTAAGCTCCAAAACAAAGATATCATTTTTGTTGCACATTTTTTTTTAAGGCAAAGAAAAAGAAAAACATTGATGTTGATGTGTTTGGTACCAAACATGGGAGGATACATATGCAGAAACAAGAAATTAGCAGTCTACAAACAAGGAAGATGAAAGGATTAAAAAGAAGTGGAGTCAACACGGTCGATGACAGCAATAAAAAAGCAAAAACAGATGAGGGAGAATGAAGGGTCTTCCATGATGACAGACTAACCCAGAGCAATCTAACACTAACAGCTCAAATTAAACTGGCCAATAATGGCCGGCTTGATCACATTGGCATTCTTACAATACTCACCGGTGTAAATCATGGGCATAGGTGAGGACACAAAGTGGGTTAAGTTCTCATTTTTTGCACCCTCAAAAAACCAGCCTCCGCTGCTGTAAGGCCATTGTTATAAAACATGTCAAGCTAAGAGCTTGTACTCGTAGTAAAAAACAAGTTGTCAAGCCTGATGTATAATGTGCGCACTACGTAGTAATCGTGCTGTGTCTACGTGGGGGATCAGGCTTGGGATTAATCAATCTAACCTTAGAAAATTAATTAATTAATTGCATTAAAAAATGTGACCCAAAGCAAAATGCTTAAGTTCATTTAGCAAACCATCTTAGCATTGTCATAGATAAATTAGTCATAGACAATTTTTTATCAATGCAATGCCTGCGTGAATGAAATTTTAAGGTCAGTAATTATGAAGTCAGCGACCTTTAATAATTGACGTATGCATGCAATAGCGATTTACGAATTTCACATTTTTAATATTTTTTATTTGTGAGAGAATGCAGTAAAGTAACTGTGTCATTTCAGTTACACAATTTTTTTTGCAATGGAAAAAAAAAATGATTTTACAATATTTGTTTTATTAAATTGAAAAAAAAAAAAAATAGAGAAAAGATGTCAGAAACATGCATCTTCTATACCTTATACAAATTAGAACCTTTATTAATGGCATCAAAAAGGTGTCCCATGATAAGGGTGTCACCTTAATAGGGATATCCTAAAGAAGTTGTTTATTTTAAAAGTTTCCAAAGCTAGTCGTATTAAATTTTGTTATGCATCGGCATGTTGCCATAGGCTTCTAGAGCCTTAGAATGATCTATTCAGTACAGATTTTTGTGCCTATCAGACTGCGGTAAAACTATTACTCTTGCATCATAATATTCCTTCATCAAGTTTTGCTCGGTGGCAGATCAAAGGGGTGGAAAAAGATTGTTCCCTCTCCCCGGCAGGAGCCATGAATTCACTAACTAGTGTGAAATCATTTAGATAAGACATTAAAATGACTAAAACTTTATAGCTTCCTGGAGCCCCACAATAAGGTTCCATCTCACTTTTACCACTATACCAAAAAAAAAAATTTGGGATCCACCACTGTTGCTAAAAATGACGAGAAATCTCATACCTGGATTGGCTGAGAAGATGAATGCATTTCTGGATTGTAAATAAAACTTGAAAACTGACAAATCAGTTAAGTACCTCAATACTTAAGCTTAGCTTCTAAACTTTCTGAGCCTAAGGATTTTGTATCCTTTTTTTTGGATTCCTACCACCTCCAACTCATCAACAATACCTAAGCAATAACTGTAGTTTAACTAAAGTTTAAATGGAACAGTGTAGTAATATTCTTGTAAACTTACGTGAGTGTTGTAATGGAGTGTATTTTGTCTGCATCTGCATTTCGGGATCTCGGTTTACAGTGAACATATGAAAAATGTTATGTTGCCTTGAACATAATCATCTAGTTCTTTGGCTTCCATTTATAAGTTAATTTTGCCTTTCATTGTATCATCTGTCAACCATGACAGTGCATCTTCTTTGGTTTTCATATTTCCAGCTTCCCAAGTTTCATCTGTAACTTGTATGTCTCAAAGACAAAATGTTAATTAATCAAGTGTCAATTACTATAGTCATTTGTGTGTTATTCAGACTCGCTTGTTCAGTGGAAAATTTTTTCTCCCTATACCTCCATTGAATTATGGTATCATCTTCAGTTCAACCTCTGTTTCTTATGTGATATGATACTCTAGTAGACGAAGGAAGCTGCCGTTTTATGTTGTATGGCGTTGCTAGGGCGCATCATTCTGTACTCGATCAAGTCATGGCATGATACTAATTGGATGTTGACTGTACTGTACATGGCTTGAGTCACTAATATACAGCACTGAAAATAAATACAAGTACAAAATTAAATTAAAATATTAAAAATTATATGTAAACTTTATTGGGTATTCCGATATAAAAATAGATACATGTCTAGATGATAAATAATTATATACAGTACACTGATTATTGAAAATTATGCAGATCTATTATAAACATGATTACGCGATGATTCTGATGATGCCTAAATTAGTTTAGTTTTTCAGAAACCGAGATGGTTGACACAAATCCTGGAGATGGCAGATTCCAGTTCAGACTGGATGTGTTTAGTTAAAGCTCTGCGTTGAGGATCAGATGAAGTGCAGTCTGCTATTAAATTTTGTAGATCAGCTTTAGTTTGCCAGGTGAGAAGTTCCGACGCGCAGTCCAGCATCTTTCCAAACATCCATATATCAGTTTCCCTTGAGAAGCGACCACCTCTGTTCAACCACGTGCCCTTGCAGAATTCTGGTGCGAAGAAGGAGTCCTGTTCCAGAAGATGACGAGCTGCTGCCTTAGTTTTAAGTTTGCCAAGGGGAAGCCAGCGAGGTTTATCTTCGCTACAAGCAAGACCGAAGTCGATAAGCTTTCCAGCAACCCTAGTAAAATAATATGAATTCAGAGTTTAGTACGAAATTATTTTTAACAAGAGTACTGTATTCTAATTTAAGAATTGCAGCCTTTGAAAGTCTTAGAATTGCAATTCACTTACCTTTGACCGTTGTTATACAGCATGACATTTCTTGGAGCGATGTCGCAGTGTAGGATTCCTCTGTCATGCATCTGGTGAATGGCCTTGATGGTATCTAGAAAGACTTCTAGCCATAGTAGGTCCGATGTTACGCTTCTGTGTGGAAAGCCGCATAAAATTTCTTCAGCGATTGCCTCTGCAAGATCTATTGATTCCTTAGATTTTTCTTTGCCAATAAACTCCATGACGATGTGGTAACTATTTCGATTTTTGCAAACTCCATACACTTTTGGAAACTCTTCAACATCCTGCATTGTATCTAGAAACTAGAAAATAAAAAACCCCTTGATGTCACATTTGTGATTTTCAGGACTGAAAGTGTTACAAATATGTGGTCATCAATCTGCATCTGTTCAGAATACAGTAATACATGGTCTATTAATTTGAAACAAATATATAGTTATAGTACTGTCACGTTAAGTCGGATACTTTTTTAATGATGATCCATTCAGACTGCCACTGACAATCAGCAGACGGCGCTACGTCGTCTACCGCTCGCCGGAAGCAGAGGTGGATTCGTCGTGCGGCGGATGTACAACGCAGTGAGTGCCCGGCTTTACCGGCATTTTATAATTCTAACCAGCTTTGTGAGTACCTTAACTTCCTTTGCTATCTTCTGGTAATAATTATTCTTCGATGCAAATTTGCTACGTTGTCTGAATGATTTTACAGCAACCAGAACCTCTTCCCCACCTTGAGATAGTGACATCAAAGTAACTGCACCGTATGATCCGGAACCTAGGAAAATAGGTTCATTTGAGTCACTGTTGACAACAATTTTCAGGTCGGTTCTAGCGATCCTCTTATATCCATCAAGGTACGAACGAGGTTTAGGTTGCTGATCTCTCTTGAAGATGGTGCAGATCTTTTGTCTGATTGCTTGCAAGAACGCGCGATTTTCTGAATGAAATAAAGAATATTTAATTTAGAGTTGTCATTGAACTTGCACAGTATTTACCATAAACTTTCTAATAACCCTGGGTTACTACTATTCTTTGATTGGTTTTTAGGATGGGTTGCTATTAGAGTATGGGTTACTATTAGAGTAGTGGCTTACTATTACTAAGCTTAATGTGACACTGAAAATAGTAAACCCCCACCCATCGCCAGCTTTTCCCGTCAGCAGTTCATAGAAATAAATAATTTCAATACGAGTAAAAAAAACTCGATTTAATTTTATTTAAACATAAAGGAAAACCAATGAGACCATATTATTCAGGTGCGAATCCAGTAGGGAGCATGGTTCCCTTCCCCGTTTTGCCACTAAATTTTAAAAATTTCAATGCACATCTATATCATATGCTCTCAATTGTCTAATCTGAAACTGCTGTTCCCCCCTCCCCCGTTTACAGGGGCGGATCCAGAGATGTCCAAAAGGGGGGGCCCCCCTGAAATTTGGGCCGATCGCAACAACGATGCCCTAGGGGTCCGGGGGTATGCCCCCGCGAAACTTTGGTGTTCTAGACGCCTGAAAATAACATTTGAGGCGTTCTGGGCTATCATTTTTTTCTTTCCTTCCTTTTTTCTTTCTTTTTTCTTTTTTTTTTTTACCTCCCAAAAGGGGGGGGGGCCGGGCCGCCCCCCCTAAATCCGCCCCTGGTTTAAAAAATTATGGATCCGCCCGTGTTATTGTACAGTAAAAGTCTAAAAAAAATATAACGTTTCTCCAAAACATTACAACATAAAGTGTCCATAGAAAATATTGTACCCAGTATATCAATTATTAATAATGAAATGAAGTAGGCCTACATTGTGTTAATGTGCAACTAGTAATTAGTTAAATTGGTTGGAAAAGCATTCTAATCTGATACAGAGAAGAAAAATGTAGAAAATGTTTTTTTTTTTTTTTTTGTTTCCTGTAAAGAGAGTGTTGTTTGTATGCATTTCAGATGTACTTGTAAAATGATTTTGCCTGACAAATAATAACACCGGTAAACAACAATGAAATTGGCATTCTAATAGGCCTAAAAAAATTATTGTAGTTAATTTAGTTGTTTTCCCTTGTGCTGCCAATGTTGTACGTGTTACAAATCTGTGTTTTTAAAGAAAAAAAAGTACATATACAATACATACCTTTAGTAGGTTTTGTAGTTTGATGTAAGTCATCATCAATAATCATGTCATGTTCGGTGGTGGTTGTCGGGGTATTGCAAGGTGTATCATTGACAACCTTAGGGTTCGATAAAGTGGCTTCATTCGGTGAATGTTGGCTACAGGGCTCGCAAATTGAACCTTTTAAAATAATGAAAATGAATGAGAGCTGAAATCTGCTGTAGAAGTTGGCTCAATTATTCTTGGGGATATATAGAATTTTTAATAAAATAATAGAAATACAAATGAAGATCGACCTACCTGTTGCATTATTTTTCTCGTCCGTTTTAGCAGCATCATTAGAAACCATGTCAGTATCACACGTTATGTCATGGATGTTGGTCGTCTGCTTTGCCGTACTTTTAACCAATGGCGCAAAGTAGTCAGCCAATGTAGTTACTCGTCGTTTGAGTAACTCCTGACGTGGAGATGGACCTTGAACTGCCAAATGTTCAGTTTGGTCTCTACTGGAATCTCCAGATGCAGTTGGCAGAATCGATGATAGGCTTACTGCCTTGCCATTGGAACCGACACTGCTTGGTCGTGTGATGGTTTCTCCAGATAAAGAAGCCGAAGTAGACCTGGGCAAGATATCAGTTTTTCGGTCGACTAAGTTTTCTCCGGGAATGCCGGTGAATGTTGTTGAACCTTTAGACATTCTCTGCCGATATTAAATTAAGATCGAGTAACATTATTATTAAATGAACGGCGAGTGACTACATAAATTACATTTTTCCCCTGTCACAATGATAGTGTTGACAGAGCTCTGGAAAACGTTTTCAAATATGACATGCCAAAAGCAGATAACGCAACCGTACCTCTGGTAGCCACGCAACACTGCGTAGCAACAGCCTTAAATAAAGCGCATTAAAATAACTTTAATATTCTAATGAAATAGGGCTAAGGCTTAGGTTTCTTGTCGAAAAATAACGTTTTCTAGTGTCCATAATATGCAAAATATTTTCAGGAAAAATATGTTTAACTTACATCAGTTGGTCTTTCAGTAAAACGAATACCGGTGTTGTAACAAAACTGGTGAGCTAGGCTAATAGTAGTATGCAATTGTTGTAATGAAACAAGTTTCAGATTTTCGTATTCTCGAAAGAACTGTTGGATTTTTTTTGGAACGGAGCTCTTTATATAGCCTCTGAAGACTACGCAGTTCGTTATGCGTATTAATAGAATGCACGCGTTTCGCGAATTCGAAAAAAAAGATCGTGCTAAAAAAAGATGTGGCTTACAAAGTTCTCAACAAATCATTCTAAAATTCAATTCTGATCTAAATTGGAAATACTAAAACCATTAGCACAAGTAGGCCTAATCTGAGATCTCACTTTTTTTTTTTTTTTATAGTGTGCCGATTTAGACAATTCCTTCATTGTTATTTGTTTTTATTTGATTATGTACATTTGCGATACGTAGTACGGTAGTACGCTAAGCCAACTCGCGCACGCGGAATAAATGCGTATTTTCGAAGCACAGAATAATACGCTGAGCAGGCAATGATGTCATAAACATCAAGAAAAATGCCATTGTTTTATGACATCATCATTTGTATTCAGTGATAAAGACGAGTAAACATTTTCCATTAATAATAATAATCTAAGAAAGTTGCCTCTATGCGCTTTGCATTAACAAATAGAAACATAACCATGAAATATCCTAACCAAAAAATAACGTTCACTGCTCCATTCTCAAGGACTTTGAATCGCCAAAAGTTAGGGGGCTTACTGACAGTATTCATCGAAGCTCTAGTGAAAAATGATATCTAGTTAGCCTATCACATAATTTTATATACAATATGTTTAAAAAACGTTTCAGAATTAGTCAAAAGGAAAAGAAAAACATTTCATCATGTTTTGATATGTTACTCTATAATACTGTACATTTATCTCATTTTAAGCTATGTGCAGTAGATAATGAATTATTTTTTACCATGCCCTTTTACTCAGCAAACTTTAGACTATTGGGTCATAAAACGTGTGTGAATCGTCATAAAAAATAAAAATAAAAGTTGAGATTGTAATTTATAATTCCAAATGTACGGAAATGATCCCAATATGGCATATGGCTTTTCTGGTTGTCATGTCACCAATAGTGGTGTACAGTATTAGGTACAGTACCCATTTTGTTTTTACTTTCAGTGTACATTCGAAATAGAGGGGACCCCAGGATGATGGAAATTTACAAATAAGTCTAGACTACTTCATGGGGCCCCACCATGGTTTGGGGCTGAGGTACAATGTTTTATTGGTATTTCGTCGAGTGGTAATCACTAACTGTACAAATGTATGTTATTGCATTGGTGCATATTGTAAGTGCTGGGTCATTAACACAAACACAAATAAAATGGCATGACAGACTAGCACATCATTATTTATCATCCACTTCTCGATTTTATTCAAAATCATCTTTCTCAGATACAATAACTTGCTATATAAACAAAATAGGATATAAATTTATAATTGTTTTCATTTAGTAATCTATTATTTTACGCCTTTCCTTGTGAGCTAATTATGGATAACAATACCCTTGTTTTCTGTTATGATATCCAACATGCAATACTTGTGCAATTTTATATTTCTTAATTGATTTGATTGGTCTAATACATTATATTATTGCAGTGGTCATCAAATGGATGGTAAGCAGGCTACTTCAATCTGGCCCACAAATAATAATAAAGAAAAATAGGCCTCATCCATTAAATACACCAAGCTGCCAAACATGATCTGAATTCATTTTTAATTGTGATTATACAGTAGTTATGTATACATCATATCAATACTGTAATTGTAATGGAATTTTCCGGGTGTCAATAAAACTTAAGAGGACCAGGACAATGCATTTCTCCCACAAATATATATGTTTATGTTTGCTTACATTGTCATTTTGTAGAACCTTAGTTACAATATCCAAGGTTTAGGGAAATGGTCTATTGTGCATAGTAATACTAAATTCATATAATGTTTGAACACATTTTCATGATGAATATGAATGTATAATTTGAGAGTATCATCAATAAACAAATCTCACCTCAACCATGGGATAATGTTCAGGTAGATGAAACTGTTGCCTGAAGTAATCGCCCACTGAGTTCTATTTTACACAATCACAAATTTAGTACCCCTGGCCATTTAAAAAATTTCAATATGTTTGTTTTTATATCATTTATTGAAATATATTTAAATAATTATGTTACATATATTTTTACTAATTACAAAGCATGAAGCTCATGTGATCCCAACTAATAAAATGGCACCAGCCCAGGAATTTTTAGATACGTAAAATGCTGACATATGCAGCGAATACAGGGTCATGTCGTAATATGGAAGGCCTCATTTAGAGCGTCTAAATTCCTTTCCTCAGCAGCCTTGTATAATTCGGGGCGTCCCAGCAGTGATATGGACATCCGCAGTGTTGACCAGATGTTGTCGGACGTTACGGCTGCTTCTCTGTTCAGTGTTTTCCCTGAACGTTGTAAGTGCAGTGCTGTGAGAAAATGCTCTATGGCTTCCCTAGGTCACAAAAAGAAATTGGAATATTTATAATTAAAATTCAAGAAACCTCGAGTAGAACGAAGCAGTTACATAAATATGGTGGGTGGGGGGGTGGTGTCTGACATTCTACTGGCGCCTCAAATAACTAGGTCATTTTGGGGACCTTAAGACACTTCAAAAAATATTTTCCTTAATAATGCTACAAGCTGGGGTTAGGAGAAAAATATCTTTCTCCCTATACACACAATGATACTGTTTCTATTATTCTGTACACCAGAAAAAAACTGAATGATTTTATCTGCATTTTAATGAAAATTGATCTATTTAAATAAGAAATGTCATAATAGTTAAACTAAAAAAAAACAATTTTTTTTCTCTAGTGTTTTAAACTTTTCAGATTATCAAATTTTCATAGATAAAAAACTGTTGTATGCCCATATAATGTTATGATGTGCTTATAGTATGGTCATGATGTGTAGTCTGGACTTTACCTATATGATCTTAGGTTGATGCAGCTTATGCCAAGGTTGTATCTAGATCTGACAAAGCCTGGGTACAGCTGCAGTGCCTGTCTGTAGGCATCCACTGCTTCTTCACTCCTGTTTCCATTTGCTAATGTTGCACCCAGTTTATTCCATAACAAGCAGTCCTGCAAAATCAAAATCAAACAAAAGTTGGCAGTAAGTCATTTTTATTATTCCAACAGCATTTGATTTAATAGTGCTTACAGACCTTGGTATTCACACCTTGTTATTATCATTAAAGAATTATTATCATAATTAATTTATTGGATATATATTAAGGGGAAAAAACAATAGCCAAAGTATTGCCAGAAATATTTTAAATGATGCAATGTAAGAATTGTTAGTTCTTCTGTAGTTATCTATTTGAGAATAGCTTTCCTTGTTTCTGCTATGGCAGATTTGATTATCATTGCATTATGTTATATAGTACAAAATATCTATTATACTTAAAAAATTATATCTTACATTTGGTCTGACTGAAAGCGCAGCATTGAAGCAATCAACTGCCTTATCATACTCCTGAGAAAGGTTGAACAAGACCCCTAGTCCTCCTTGCACATCCGGGTCAATCTCTTCCGGAGACTCTCTGGCTGCCTCCAGGTACAGGCCTTGCACATGATGGTGGAGATTGCTGAAAATGCCACACAAACATTCTCTTGTAAATTATTGATGACTTATCTCAGTTGACTTGAAGCAATAGATTTACTTGTATTCATTAAAATTGCACTTAGTGATATATATTAAGACAATTTATTATCTTTCATAATTGTATGGATTTCAATGGGATTCGAACCTAAGACACTGATTATTGAACTATGGTACCAAGGTAATGCATTTTCTTGGATTTTATCCTTTACTATCAAGGTATTACATATGTGACCAGGTTCTCTAGGGGAAGAACTCCTAGAAACGCCCCTGTATGTCACAAAAACATAAATCACAATATTTGATACCTCCCTCAGTGAAGTATCATACATTCTGATTTTCAACATATTAATAAATACCCTTAATAAATGCATAACTGCAGATCTTAACTAATGAAGGAAGTTGCATATTGTGCATTTTATATTTCATCTGTATTAAATGAGAATAATAGCAGACAGTTACCACTATATTATATTATAATATAAATAAATAGCTTTGCCTTACCTGGACATCACTGAATTTATTGGCACGTCTGAATGATCAACTCGTCTTTTGAGTATATGCGAATATCTGGGATTGCTGCCAATCCAGTCTTGCAATGAGTAGAGAGCTTGTGTTTGCATAGATTCATTTGTATAGCTCACTGCCAATGCCATTAATGCTGTAAGGTTGTCTTTGTCTAATTCTAAACACCTGTGAACAAATTTAGTAAATGAATGGTGAATACAGTGGTGATGTAATCATATTTTAATGCCGAAAATTGCATATCATCTGATTACACTGCATGTGACTCAAGCCAGTCAGCCTGCCTGCTAGGGTCAATTTACATAATTGTTTTACCCAACATGAACTAAATAGCTTCAGTGGCCTACAGTATCCAAGAGTATTGATATGGGGGCTTCTGGGTGGGAGGGAGATGGAAAAGTATACAAGCACTAGCTTGAGATGATTGAGATGATGATGATACTGCACTGTAGTAACCCTTTTTCACAGCATTCTTCAGTGAGGGCCTAAGAAGCACAAACATTTGGGCATGTGTACCCACACCCACCTACCCTGATTTCACAGTGTAGCTATGACAATCATTCAAATTTGACCAATCATAATTTACCATCAATTTTGGAGGTAGTTTGGTGTTTGTAATAGCATGCAACTGCTTGCATAACTAAATTAGGCCCCTACTGTATATACCCACAGATTTTAGCATATTCAGTAATACCTTTATATATATAAGTTATAATAATAATAATAATAATTCTTTATTGGTCCTCATCCAATATGAAATTGGAAGTTTGGGCGGGGCGCCTGGGACCTATGGGGTTATATGGATATACACATATGTAGAAAAAGGCATCAATAGTGTGAAATGTACATACCTTCTTAATGCCAGTATTGCTGCATTTTCTTGTTCATTTTGTGCTTGAGTTGTGCCCAGGTATTGCCAACCCTGACATGTAACAACATCATATTAATATCCAATTCATCTTTTGAATACTTTCTTGTATGTATAATATAAATTCATTAAATTTAATGGCTTTCAATTGACAATATAATTTCTGTAATTAGTGATTCATACTTATTTATTTTATTTTATTAAAATACAGCTCACAACATATAATAAACAATAATAAGCAAGATGGAGAAAATCAAGTGAAAGTACACCTCTACTAGTTCAACTACATGAACATAAAGAACCAAAACATAATACGGTAGAACCCCTCCTTTGGGACACCCTATTAAGAGGACATTTTTTCAGGAACTAAATGAGAGAAAGCATATCTTTTAATGCTACGGCCAACCCCCTATTAAGAGGACACTTTTTTTAGTCCTGAAGGTACTGTATCCCCTTAATAAGGATTCTACTGTATCATAAACATTACAATAAAAGTAAATAAAAATATAAATTATACACATTAATCATTATAAAACAACATAATATAACAAAATTTAAATATAATTAACATAGAAATATTACACTCCGGTCAAAAAATAAACAATAATATAATTTAATTTACACAATATTTATATGTAATTCAATGATAAAGTAACAAATAATTATATTATAAGTATACTAGTTCAACCACCTGAACATAAAAAAGAAAAACACAATATCATAAACATTACAATAAAAGTAAATAAAAGTATAAATTATACACATAACTCAGTATAAAACAATTTACAAAGGAAATAATAAAAGGAACATAATATAACAAAATTTGAATAGAATACAAATAAAATTCAACCAAGTAATAGAAATACCTATCAAATATTACATTTAAACATATTAAACATACAGTAACGAGTTGCAGTCTTTACTAAGTATGACTTGGATTATGATGTAATTAACACACCTTGGCATTTTCAGGTCTTTCTTGAACCTCTGTTTCAAATAACAACACAGCATTTGCAAGATCACCTTCTTCCAACCGTTTTAATCCCTCTTGAAATGGATCAGTGTGATCCCTTAATGGATTATCTTCTTCGAATTGGTAAACCTGCAAAATCACCATTATGATATATCATTTCATCATCACTTACAGTATTATAGGCACTATCATTAGGTTTCTTGTAGTTTTAACTGCGCATTTCTGTGTCAAAGCCTATGACAAAATAATTCAACCTGTCATTATGAAATATTTTTTTCACGAATGTATGTGTTATGATATCTGAATAGTTTTAACTGGTTTGTTAAAGATGAGAAAAAAATGATCTGAAAGATAATATATTAAGTAAAACACAAGCCAGTACGTATATTTTTACCTGGTCAGATGATGTGGCATTTTCAAATTCACTCAGCCATGGATGGGAACCGGATAATTCATTCTTGGCTGCATTTTCCCATTCCGTTTGTAAACGATCCCAGAATTCCTCATCCGATGGAACAGTCTTGGACGACATATCAGTTATGAACTCAGATTTCCATTCTTCACTCAACTTCTGCAGAGAAAATTTTTGTGGGACCTTAGCGGAAATGTCCATTAGACCTGTATTCTCAAGCACAAAACAATTGAAGATTATTGAAGCCCACTAAACACGTCAACTTGAAATATTTACTTAATATATAAGCCAGCATCTAGGGCGAAACATAGCATGGAGCACTTCACAGCCCATCAACATTGCAAGCTGGGTAGCTAAGCATGGCTGGCCGAGAATGGTCATCGTGTGGTTCGAATTCTGGAAAACGAGGTTCAGAACCTGAATGCAGATCGCTGCACCAAACCGCCTTTCCAGTATATGATGACGAAGGTAATGATGGTCGGTTAACAGGATTATCCACTTTTTAACACAATGATAGAAATGATGTTGAATGAACAATGAAGACTTCAATAGGATGACAATATTATTGATAATGATCATATTAAACAAAGACACTATTTTAGAAGGAACTGCTTACCCATTTATTCAGGAAAGCCTTTGATGAAAATAGTTAACAAAGCCATAATTGTAGAAGGATATATACCTGTTCATTTAGAAAATCCTGTGACCACGCTTCTGCTGTGCTTTCGATGACATGACCATCTTTTTGTTTTACTTGATTATCTTCAATGACTAATTCACCATCACCTAATTTCTTTACAAACTTCATAAACTGTGGACAGAAGCAAAACATTGGTTCATTCAATTCAAGTTAGTAAATATTTATTTGTTAATTCTTTCAAAATACAAAAGAAGTGACCAAGGAGCAGAATGAAGAAAACAGTTTTTTAAACACAAAACCAAACAAGCAAAAATCAAAATAGTGAAAAAAATCCAAAAAAACTAAATTGATCAATTTATTGTACACATCAGTAAATCAAGCAGTCATTCATTCGATTATTAAGGGAACCTATTTGATGATCAACATATAGATTTCAAATTATTATAATTGATGACAAATCAAGCACAACAACTTTAAGATAAACAATTATTTAAAATTAAATTCCTTTATAGATCTTCCAATTTTTGAAGTATCAAGAAGACTCTTAGTACATTATGTAGACAGTTGTGGAATATGCTCTATAGAGTTGGTTCATAGATTATGTGTATAGTATTTCTGCATAGATGTTGTAAATAGACATGATTCATTGATCATGCGCATAGATCACGGTGGATATCAATGATGTGTTGTTGAGTGCTATAGCAGAAACAACGTAAAACGCAGCCTTGTCTTCACTTGTTCAAATCCAAGGTTTCAGTTGCTCAAACCAAGCTAGATCTTGGATAGATGCTCAATAAGCAAAAAACCTAGTGGAAACTTCCTCAATCATGTGCAATTATAACCCCTCAGAACTTCTTTGAAAGTAACTGGGGTACCTAAGTGTTTGTTTAAATATCTTAGCTCCTGTGAACAGGATCAGGCAGCAGAATGACTGTTTGGAAGTAAATTCATAAAAATGAGTTTGTACCACTAGGTACTTGTTAACATTTAATATAGATGCTGTATATATATTGGCATAAATATTCTTGTGATCTGTACACTTACTTCAGAGTTGTTAAATTTTGGATCATCTACAGCTCCAAGCAATTCATTGGCAGTTTTTGCTAAGTTATCTTCAGCTTTGTATTCATCAATCCTAAAAAAATTAGTGAGTTGTAAAACTAGATCACATGGGTTCAAATTGATCACATAGGTCAATGTCAGATAGGTCACATGAGCAGATTCAAATTTATCTACACTTGATTCCTGAGTTACTCAATTTGTAGCTAAAAGGCTGAAATAAGATGAGATTTGCATCAACACACAAAAACATAATAATAGTTAATGACAACTTACCAACCAACGTCATCTGACTGCTGTTCATATTCATTAAGCCTGAAAAAAAAAATATAGTCACTAAAAAACAAGTCAGCTAAAACGAACATGTGCATTTTACCCTCACACGTAATGTAGTGCATCGGCGGTCACAAAGATGTTGGAGGGACCATTTGTCACTTGGCAATTTTGATTTCCGAGTCATCATGGAGCCACTTGCCCACATACGCCTAGCCTTGGATATTCTTGCTAAGCTCCCACAAAACGAAAGCTTATTAACATAAACCTGCATTTGTGATACAACACATGCATTTGTGGGACCAGCACACATGCCAGGCCCTGTTCACATGCATTTGTGGGACCGGCACATATTCCGGGCACTGTTCACATGCATTTGTGGGACCGGCACATATTCCGGGCCCTGTTCACATGCATTTGTGGGACCGGCACATATTGCGGGCCCTGTTCACATGCATTTGAGGGACCGGCACATATTCCGGGCCCTGTTCACATGCATTTGTGGGACCGACACATATTCCGGGCCCTGTTCACATGCAATTGTGGGATCAGCACATATTCCAGGCCCTGTTCACATGCATTTGTGGGACCGGCACATATTCCGGACCCTGTTCTGATCGGTTGGTTGTTGAGTTTGATCAACACCTCCAGATTCTATTAAGTGCAGCACCAGAAACAACCATTGCCAAATAGGATGCTTTAGCAGTGGCGGATCCAGGAATTCAAAATAGTGGGGAGCCCAGTGAGGGAGTTTTTCACCACAATTTGGGGCTGAGGTAAGAAAAGAAAGTTTATGATTATGGCACCTCAAGATGGCCGGAAATGACACACTTAAATTTAAATATATTTTTCTTATTTTCTCCATTTTCTCATAATTTTGACTCCCCTTTGAATCTGCCACTGTTTAGCTCAGGAGGCAGTGTAGATACACCAAAGATCACTTGTTATATTCCCACAGCAGCCCAGATTTTCTTTGCTCCACTTTATTTTTAAACATTGAACCATAGACATACCATAATTTCTCAGCACTTCCAGAGAGGTACTCTTCAGCCCATTTAGCATTTGGATTTTCAGGCAGAATTTCAGGACCAACTGCAAAAATTAGTACAACAAGAAATATGACAACAAAAAAGCATCACATTATTAAATTCATTCAAGAGGGCCCCTGAATATCAGACAACCCTTCGTTATACACTGAAAAGGTCACCCTCTATAAATATGGTAAAAAAAAAAAACAAGAATGTTGACTTTTCATAAACAACAAACTGGATTGTTGTAAATTCATATTCAAAATGTTTACTTCTTATATATTTCAATTTAATTTTTAAACAAAATCAACAAACAGAATACAAATATTTTTAAAAAGTTTTAAAAAGTGAATAAAAATATATTTCAATTAATAAAAATAATAAACAAAGTAATAGAAGTATCTTTAAATACACAAATTATATTTAATAATATATTTAATAATAATAATATATTTAATAATAATAATAATAATTTTAATAATAATAATTAAAATAATAATATATTTAATAATAATAACTAGCGCTAACTTTTTTTTTATTGTTCTCTTATTTCTTCATTATCTATAGTTCCCCATAAGGTAGGTTTTAGTGACATAATAATAATAAAACAAATTAATTACCAGCTTCTTTTTGACTCTCCAAAAAATCTCTCGTCCAATCTGATGGCCTTTCAGTTGTTATGTCTTCTATCCTTTCTTTCTCTGCCACAAGAAATTCTTGAGCCCAATTGGGTTGGGTGGCCAGATCAGCTATAGCTGGTGCTAGATTTGTATTTTAATGAGGGGTATTATAAAATTATCTGACAGTTAAAACAGCTTCATTAATATCTACACCACTGATATTTGTCATTATAGCATGTAACATTGATCTTGCTTAACTCAGCATCCATATCACCATATTCATTTTTATCACTTTCGATAAAACATGCCTCCTTATTATTTCACTAAAAAAGTTATTGTTTTCATTCTCTCCATCCTCATTCTCTCCATCCTTATCTTCTTTATACTTCTCTCCATCCTTATCCTCTTTATCATTCTCTCCATCATCCTGCCCTTCCTCAACCTCTTTATCATTCTCACAATCTTCATCCTCTTCATCATTCTGACCTTCCTCATCCTCTTCATCATTCTGCCATCCACATCCTCTTCATCATTCTCTCTATCCTCAGCCCTTCCATCATTAATATTTTCATCTCAATACCTTGAGCTGGGAGTTGCCTTCTATGTAGAGCATCCTCAATATCTTGCATTTCTTGTAACAGTGCATTCATATGAAAACTTTGTGGAGCTGCATTATAGTGGTGTTCTGCTAAAAACTCTCCAACCAACTGGGAAAAAGGAAAGAAAAAAATGGTTTGATAACTGACATGATTCAAGACAACTTTAATGATCAATCTAGCTCCTGAGATCCCTGTGTAATTGGGCCTTGCGCTTTAAATAAGCTGCCGGATATGCATACCTCTGGACATGCATCAAATCGTTGTGGGATTAAAATAAATATTATGCAAAGAAGTTACAGGAACAGAAGATTTTGATGTACTTACCTGTTGTTCTGACAACTCTGTGCGATGACCTACTCCTGGGGCTATGTGAAGACCTTCCTGGTGCCTGGACTTATCCTCCATAAAATGGCTTGTCAATTTCATCAGGGGATTGCTTGTCCCACATTCTCCTTCCACAAAGTCACGCACAGCCATTGTGATCTGGAATACATTAAAATAATTTTTTTTTAAATAAAATTTTTGAGGTATGTCTGAAGTCAAATGACACATTTTTAGATTGTTCAAAGAATGAGGGACATGATGGTGCCGAGCCCCAATTTGCCAAAACCCAGTTTGCCGAATACCAAATCAAAGACTGTGAAACCCAGTGTGCCGAATCCCAGTTTGCCAAAAGTGAACTTAAAAGTACAGTAACATCACTTAACAACAGCATAAGATTCAATTAAACCAGTCAATACAGTACAAGCGGATGCCACTTCCTATTTTTGTTTTTCATCCTTTTCTGATTCAAATTTGCTGCAAAAAAAAAAACAAAAACAAAACAAAACAATCTCATCATTACTTGTGGATACTAAAAATTCATCCATGTTATAGTTCACACTACTATAAATGCATCTGCTCGAACTGGCACCTCTCGAATTAGCCTCCATTAGCATTCGCTTGAAGTAGGCCTACTGTATTTACTATATTATTGGAATTGTTGATCCCATTGTTCAGTGTTATTTTGTGTTCGCTATTCTTTTTTTTTATTGAGAGATAGGCCTAATTATTAAGACTAAGGGTAAGAGCGCACTTTTTCTATGCTGAAATTTAAAGTCACCCTAGGAATAGGGTCAGACCTAAATATTTCACCGTCTTGATTGCCAGTTGGCCTTATATTTTTGTTTAACCCCACTCAAACCTTGCAAGTTGCATATAATTATTAATAAAATAGAATAGATAAGGAAGTAGGACTAGCCTAATAGGGGTCCACTCACTATAAAGTAGGCTAGCTATTGCCGGCCTAGGCCTACACTATATATAGCCGAACAATGGCCCTAGCAAGACCTATTAATAGGTCTAGGTCCTATGCCTAAGTTCTACTGGAGGCTAGGCTAGCCAGCCTCCTAGCTTAGCCAAGCCTAGCAGTAGCCTATCCTTCCTAGGCCTAGAAGCAGAGCAAGAGCTTAATTAAGAAGGGTAGGCCTAGCCTAAAGGGCACCAATATTCAAAAGATGAAAAAAAAAATACTTACGTACTATCAATTATATAAACGTTAATAGCAGTTATTATTAAAAGTCTCGTGTGCTTCTATATTTGTCTAGGCCTAGGCTAGCAGTACGGCAACATCTTTCACCAGAAAATGTACATGCGAAATCGACAGGTATATAAAGTATGCCAAAACAGGATTCGATATGTTCGATCTCCATAACCGCGCTACGTCTGTTTGGAGTCTACTATTTCATTGAGGCTGCGGTACAATGTATGAGGCGCCAAGTGTAAATTTATTATTTAACACAATTATTTATATATAATTCATTATTTAACATATAATTGACTAGATCACCCATTATTTATATATAGTGCATTTACGTCTAAAAGATTATATGTAAATAATTGCGTTAACGTTTCATTATTTATATATAATTAGTTTACTGATTACATTATATATACATAATGAAAGGCTAACCAAACATTATTTATATATAATAAGGTTACTGGCTTCATTATATATAAATAAGGAAGGGGAAACACATCGTTATATAAAAAAATTATGAAAAATAACTTACAATTATTTATATATAATAAGTTCACTGATTCCATTATATATAAATAATGAAAAGGTAACAAATCATTATATATAAATAATGAAAAGTAACTTACGATTATTTATATATAATATAAGTTCACTGATTTCATTATATATAAATAACGAATTGACTTCAAAGTCATTATTTATAAATAACTGCT